AGAATGTTCCGAGGAACATAAAAAAGAAAGGTCAGTCTACTGTGGTGATTCACAAATGATTCACAAATGATTCACAAGGTGAGATGAGTGCTTCACTCAAAGAATGAAACAAGGACTGATTGGAAATGTTTTGCAGAGGTGTCACTGTGGGCTTAGCTCAGTCGGCAGGATCTAAGCGCTTTAACCCGGTGGGTCCAGGTTCGATCCTGGGTGAGTTCATGTTTGCACGAATGATCATCCTTGGGTGTGGTCATGTAGACACGAATGATGATTCTTGGGTGAGGTCATGTAAGCATGAATGATGATTCTAGCATCCGCAGCTTTTTGGTGATCAAGAGCTCACGCAGCGCACCTGACCGTGTGCCATGGAAACGCCTGAGCCGTTGGCAATGAAGAAGAGCCGCCGTGCCCAAAAAACGTCTACCAAGACACACAGGGCGCGTAAGCTGGCACAGCGCAAGGGCCTGCAAGCCCCAAGAACGGATGCACCACCGCTGAAAGATGTTTCCCACGCGGAGCATCAGGCCGCGAAAAGGGAGGAGAAGAGGAACCTGAAGCGGAGCCTCAAGGTCAAGAAGGTGGGCGAAAAGAAGCTCTACCTCCAAGAGGGCGACGGCTGCCCTGCCTTGGCCAAAATCAGGGGCGACGCAACGAAGACGCAGAGGGGTGCCACCTTCACCAATCCGTTCAGTTCCGGTTCTTCCAGGGCATCAGGAGGTGATGGGCCGGGGCTCTAGTTTTGTTGTTGTTGTTGTTGCTGCTGCTGTTGTTGTTGTTGTTGAAAAAATACATCAGAGGCAGCAGCCCTGTGTCTTGTAAGGCAGTTCATCATTCGTGCGTTGACCTTTAAAATTAAACTTACCTGGCTAGTGCTGGAGAGAGATCCAGCAGCTTACCCTCATAAGGTTGCGTAGCACACTGAACTCTCAGCGAGCAAGGCCTAAGGCTGGAGTGATGGCAATGAAAGTGGTATAGCAATTGTTTCTTAATTGTTCTACCCACATTACCTCATAGTTAATTTATGTTTATTGGATATATATTGTACTATATAGATACAATGATATATGCATATATATATATATACACGTTTACACACATACATATATAGATATATACATGTATACACATAAAGTATCATAAATTCATATATATATATATAGATTAATAATAATCTTAATAATAATAATAATAACAACAACAATAATAATAATAATAATATATTTTTATTTTTATATATATTACTTAACTGGTTAGCTAAACCTATCCCTCCAGATTCCCTCGAAAATCTCTGGGCCTTTTTCGACGAAGACCTTGGACGAGCTCCGGCAGAACAGCGACAACATGGAGTCGTCGGCGGCGGAAACGGTGTCCGGGGGCTAGATCCACCGACGGTGGGCGTTGGACGTTTGATGTTACGGGCAAGGTCTTTTTTAAGGGGAAACCTGGGGAAACTATGAAGTTTAATAAATATGGTTAAGTACATCAATCATGCATAGACACACTCGACAAGTCGACAAACTGTCATAAGCCAAGTATGTGACGGAAGGACCTGAGCCTCAGCAGGTCCCTTTGGATTCATCAGTGGTGCCCGCATTCCGATACTTTCATGTATTTATACTTAATACTTAGTGCAAAATCCATAAAAATCCAATGTTTCAGAAGTTTGGCAAGATACTCCTGAAGAGCCGCTTCACATGTAGCTCTATGCCTCCCAGCCGTGTAACCCCGTGTAGCCTGAGGCGTCGGATACGAAGTCAAGTGTCCAAAGCCAAGAAGAAGGGTATCATGCCAAGCTCTTGGGCCTGGAGCTGAGATGAGCTCAAGAAATCTCAGACATATGGGGCACTTTGGGATGGTCAGGCTGTGGAAAAATGGTAGACTGGATCGGGAATTGATGGGGATGGGGAACGCCCCAAGAGATGGGGTTTCGAGACATTTCGAAAGCATCCAATTTGGGCTGGTGCCCTCAAATATTCAGACCAAACCATATGGAAAATGTAGATCTGTAGATCTACTTGGATGAGACAATCGAAGATAAAGGGAGCATGGTCTCCAGACGTCAGAATGGTTGGTGGACTTATCTCAGACTTTGGTTCAGTAAACCAAGACACAAACGAAGATGATATCCAATGTAACCAGTTAATGGTCATAATAAGCGGCTAATTTACTGGAAACCAACTAGTCTAATAACTGGTTAGCTGATGTCAACTGAAGCATGTGATTCTTCATCATATGCAACTACCAAAGGGATCATCGTACATCATCCTTACATGTGTGGGCAAACATTTGAGTAGTTGTTTTTCTGGATGCAGGAAAATTATGGAAAATTGCTAAAGTGGGAACTCTACAAGACAGATTATGCCCCAGGCGTAGGCTCCAATGCAGGTTGCGTAAGCATTGGCGTAGGTCGTTTTAGCCTACACCGCGTAGGCTTTGTGTAGACACTCGTTGGCAACAGTTAGAATTAGAACTTATTCATTTGGAGGTTTTCTAAATTGGGGGTACCCCAATAGCTGGATGGCTTATAAGGGAAAATCCCAACAAAAAATGGATGAGTAGGGGCACTGTACCCCTATTTCAGGAAACTTCCATTTTGCATGATTTTGCATTGGTTAATTAGTAATTAGTTGTGATGTTTTGTCACTGTTGGGATGATTTTTGAACCTCAGGATGACGTTTTCGAACCCGTGGCTTCCTTGTCCGGCGACCTGAGCATCCACGGCAGTGTATTGAATCAAAAATCGGAATCATATGGATGAAGTCCCCCGATGGTGAATATTTCTTTGAAGGATTGCCTGCCAACTTTCAACCTGCCCTATAGAATCTACCATGCCCTCAACAAAAACACTTCAGAATATCGCTCTCCCATGGGATATGATCACTTTTTATCACTTCCAAGTTTTCCAATCAGCTTCAGGGGAAACAATTACTGTAGATTTTTCATGATTTTACACAGTTCAAACCAGTACAAAGTAGTTAAAAACCATGATATGTGTTAGGGTCCAAACATGGGTTCATGTCCCATACTGGTGGATGGTCATCTATCGACGACTACGGAGCTAAGCACCCATGATGTTCGGATTCCCATTCCGGGATGGATGACCAGAAATATCCATTAAATATTATACATACATACATACATACATACATACATGCATTGCATTGCATTGCATTGCATTGCATTGCGTTACATTAAATTAAATTACATTACATTACATACTTACATTACATTGCATTGCATTACATTACATTACACTACATTACATTACATTACATTACATTATATTACATTACATGCATACATGCATACATACATACATTACATTACATTACATTAAATTACATTACATTACATTATATACTTACATTACATTACATTACATACTTACATTACAGTACATTACACTACACTACACTACATTACATTACATTACATACATGCATACATGCATACATACATACATACACATACATACATACATTACATTACATTAAATTAAATGAAATTACATTACATTACATTACATACTTACATTACATTACATTGCATTACATTACATTACACTACACTACATTACATTACATTACATTACATACATGCATACATGCATACATACATACATACATAAATACAGACATACATATAATATGTATATATATATATATGCACCATGACATCCATGAGCCTAGCGGCCCTAACTAGGTGGGAAGTGTCACCACTTTTCTTGGAAAATGTCCATCACTTTCTCAACGAAAAACCCTGAGGTTAGGCCCTGCTCATTACTTTGGGTCCACCTCGGAAGTGCATGAGGAGGCGGGCCGGATGGTCGGATGGTGGGATATGGCCACAATGGTGGGATATGGCAATGGGAAAATGATTGGATCATGATCTAAAAATGATGGTTTGAGCTTCTAGTATGGAAAATCACGATGTTTTTTTCGGTGCATAGCTGAAAAATAACTATGTTGGTTTACATGAGGGTATTCCCAAAAAATAGCCTCTGGCAATCCAAGGTGGCCAGGGGAATTTCCGTTGCCACGTTTGATTACTGGAGGGTAAGCATAAGAAAAAAATGGGGACAGAATGTTATTAGAATGGTATTAGAATGGTATTAGATAATCACTGTTTGTTTTTGTTTGCCTCATTTTCAGACAAACCATGACAAAGTCATAGAAAATCAGAGATCAACAGGTGAGATGTCCAGCAATGTCCAACAATTTTGGTGATGGAAATTATGGCATCCAGCTGAGTGTGCCGACATTAATGGCTCGACATGGCTCGACATGGCTCGACATGGCTCGACATGGCTCGACATGCTCTGAGGATGGGATGATATATGGTATATATTATATCCACACTGTGGTATAAACACATTCTATGGTATGGAACCATTTTTTGAATAGATGAATATAGTTCAATACTGTGAATATGGTCCACGATGTTCGGTTCCAAAATGGTGGGCTGCCCATGATTTTTGTCGCCGTTGGGTGGGATGGGACCATGGTATGGTCAACCCGAAGCAAGGCCCTGCAAGCTTTCATGGCGAAGCAACTGAAGAGTGGTCAGATGAACAGCAAGCAGGCGCTGAAGGTTTTTTTGTTGGGCCACTGCAGGATCTGCAGGTGCCTTTGAAGAGGTTGAATGGGTTAAAGATGTTAAACCAAGGAGATGGCGCATCACATGACTCAAAAGAAGGTTCACAAAGACACGTGACATAAATTCGAGTGCAAATGCAGTGCTACGCGTTTTTTTTTCCGGAAAGGTTTCGGGAATGTGATGTTGACATGCCTGACCTTGCCCGAGTCCTTGAGGCTTGAGATCGGGATGATCCTTAGAAACGCATAGTTGGGGGTTGCCACCAAGCGGTTCACCAAGGTTCACTCCACAAGACTAGTGATATAGTCAGTACAAGTTCTTTGAAGAAACGACGATTTCTTTCTGCAGCAAGGAACAATAAGGAACATCCGAAAAATTATAGCAGCTTTGCTTCCCACGGCCCTTGAGCTGACGCGGTTACAGCATACTACAGCCATGGCGTCTGGTAGCTTTCGGGCATGTTGGCTGGAAAAGGTCGGGGCAAGCGTACAGATGGACCGCTGGCTACTGTTTCAGAGAATCGTTTTTGTTTCTCTGTGGGGAGTTGCAACATTTGCAGGGAGTGGAAGTGTATGTTATATATTACTGTCACGTATACAGTATACAGTAAGAATCCTAGCCAATCTAGGCGAATGTGTATATGCTCGCCAGTTTTAATGAGAACAATCGCTTTGAAGACAGCCTCCGATTCCAAATTTCCAAGATCTTGGCCACTCTAGTGGGGGATTAGACACTCATTCCGCACTCATTCCGGAGATCAAAAGCCCAACGGCCAAGGAAGTAAAGGACGTGCCTTTCGAAGAGCTGGCGTCGGGTGACGACTATGTGCGCGTGAAGGTGGGGCTGGCAAGGGCTCACGAGGGATCGATGATCAAAGGTCTCCTTTAAAATTGATGGTGACCCTCCGGGAATGGAGTTTTATTAATGACAGTCCACTATATAAATGTGAGATATCACTGTTGACTCAATCCATCATCATTCAGTGTGGATATCCATGAAATTGGGGATGTTGCATGGAATCTCGAAAAATGATTGAACTTTCATCTTGTCCAGCACTCCCAGTTAAAGGGAACATTACAGGAAAACATAGGAAAACCATATATTTGTCTACCAAATCCATGGTTTCCGGTTAAGATGTTCTAACAAAACCAATCCAATCAAGAACTCGGTCCAGCACATTTCGGTTGGTTGTCTGAAAATAGGTTACCCCTAAATCCCCATATTTTCCCATAGTGTATCATCATGTACCCATCATTTCTGATAAAAACTCGTGAGTTGCATTGGCGTATCCCGCATTGACCCAGGTCCTGAACTATAGTGAATCACATGGTTTATCATGGTTGATCATCAGTTTCCCATCATTCTCCCATGAAAATCCATGGAAAACAGGTCAGTTGACAGTGGGTCAAAACCCTGTACCCCTGTAGTTCACATCAAAATAGCTGGTAAATTCATGTTCATCCCCCTAAAAATGGTATTTTCATAGGTATTGATCCATACCCAGTTGACCCAGGTGAACTATAGCGGCTTGAACTACAAGGACGGCATGGCCATCTGTGGCATCTATGGCGTGGTCGAAACGCTGCCGCTCATCACCGGCATCGACTTCGTGGGGGTGGTGGATGTGGCTTGGCAACTGCCATTTTTTTCGGCCCCACAAAGGATAAGTAATGGATGGTAGTAGTATATAGTCATATGGCTATGGATCAATACCTATAACAATACCATTTTTAGGGGGATGAACATCCATAAATCCCAGCTATTTTGATGTGAACAGAAGGGGTACAAGGTTTTGACACACTGCCATATATATAGTAATAGATGATCATAGTAAATAGAAAATCATAGTATAGATGATCATAGTAATTATCTAGAAGAATAGATCATAGTAAATAGATGATCATAGTATCCCCATATATAGTAATAGATGATCATAGTATCTAAAATAATAGATCATAGTAAATAGATGATCATAGTAAATAGATGATCATAGTATCCCCATATATAGTAATAGATGATCATAGTATCTAAAATATAGATCTTCATGCATAGTATATTAGAGGATCATAGTATATAGTCATTAATAGTCCGTGGTAAATGACTTTTCTACCGATCTTTTTGGGGGTACTATATAGAACGATAGGATGTGAGCCCAGTTTGGTTTGATGGTTTTCGGATGGCATGACATGGCTTGTGGCTGAGGGGAACACAGTCAGTCATTTAAATGTTGTTTGTTTTGATGACACAGGTGGCAAGTGGGAGCAGAAAGTATGTCCAGCACTCCACACAAGTTTCTGCAGCGTGCATCCCTGCCAACTTGCCAAAGCTCAGGAAGCAAAGGGTGGCTTCAAGTGTCTCGTCCGTTGGAGCATCCTTTGGAGATGATGTCAATTTCATCCCTTTAAATGTGTGATGTATTTTGGGGTCCAACCAAGCCACATGGGTTAAGTCTGGTTGCTGCAACAGGAAGTGAGAACCATAACCAATGGGATCGTTCTCTGCAACGTTTTCATCAGCCATTCAATTCCAGTTTTGGCTGAAGATAGGGTATCTAAGAATCCCACGGTTGATCATCATTTCCTCCCTAGGTTTGCCATTCTATAGGGTGAGAAATCCCACTTGTTGGACAAACCTTACTGCGTATGGTTGGGTTGTATATCCCATCAGAGATCCTCGATCAAATCATAGCTCCGAATGTTGGTGAAATCCTGAGATGTTCCATGTCTTCTGGGCTTTATAGCACCATCTTTGTTGGGTTTTTACAACCCATGGCTGGCTGGTTGGTGGTTTCAATCATTTTTTTTATTTTCCATAATTAATAATTATTCCATAATGATTATATATATGGGATACAGTAATCCTTCCCATTGACGAACTCATATTTTTCAAGATGGTTACCCTCTGGTAATTTAACATAGCTATTGAAAATGGTGATTTATAGTGGATTTTCCCATTGAAAATGGTGGATCTTTCCATAGCTATGTTAGTTTACCAGAGGGTAAAACCACCAACCAGCTGTTGGGTTTTTACAACCCATGGCCGTTTCGCCCACCGAGGAAAGGAGACAAGGTCATCATGACCGGGTGGGAGATGGGCCAAAAGTTCCATGGTGGCCATGCCGAGTACGCCAGCGTCAAGGTGCGAAAAGGTTGAAGCCGGGCAGGGTGGAAACCCGGCCTGGTAAACATACAAAAAACGATGGAAAGATCCACCATTTTTGATGGGAAAACTATGGAAAATCACAATTTTTGATGGGAAAACTATGGAAAATCACAATTTTTGATGGGAAAACTATGGAAAGATCCACCATGTTTGATGGGAAAACTATGGAAAATCACAATGTTTGATGGGAAAACTATGGAAAGATCCACCATTTTTGATGGGAAAACTATGGAAAATCACAATTTTTGATGGGAAAATTATGGAAAGATCCACCATTGTTGATGGGAAAACTATGGAAAATCACAATTTTTGATGGGAAAACTATGGAAAGATCCACCATTTTTGATGGGAAAACTATGGAAAGATCCACCATTTTTGATGGGAAAACTATGGAAAGATCCACCATTTTTGATGGGAAAACTATGGAAAGATCCAGCATTGTTATAGCTGGGTAAATCAACTATTTCGACTGGGCCATGTTCAATAGTTATGTTAGTTTACCAGAGGGTAATGTTGTGCGTGTATAGATGCATACAGATTTTTTTTAAAGATATATGATGATATATGATATATTGGTATAAGATGAAAATTGATATATACTGGTAGAGAGATTTAGGTATAAAGAAGATAAAGAAATGTGTATGTAGAACATGTGGTGATTACTGACATAAGTAAGATGTTCTGAAGCAGTGTTGTCTCACGTTTGTCTAGATCTACCTATCATATTATATTGAATTAGTTGATTTATCATATTCCCAAATTAAGCTAACACCATGTTGCTAGGTATGGCTCAGCAGCATACTCCACACAAGTGTTTATTTTCATTCCAACAAGTAATAAGTTCAACTTGTTTCACCATGTTGTGAAAAAATCGTTGTTAACACTAAATTTCTATCTATTTGTTTCACCAAACATCGGATTTTGAGGCATCCTCTAGACCATCAACCTAGACACAGGCTCAGTGGCTCGTGCCTTTACCGGAGAACCTCTCCGAGATCGATGCGATGACTATTGGCACGGCCGGCTTTACAGCTGCCTTGTGCGTCAAGGCAATGGAGGAGCTGCTAGGGCGGTAGGTCTCATGTCCAGGATCTATGGGGGGGTCCTAAAATGGGGTTACCCCCAAATCGATGATTTATAATGGAAAATCCCATGAACATGGATGATTCAGGGATACCCGGCATTTCTGGAAACCCTCAATATATCTCGTGAGCCCAAAAAAAAGATAGAAAACACGTTTCCAGGATGTTGCAAGTTGTAGGTCTCATCAATCATTTCCATGTTTCCAACTTTCCTATCTACGGTGGTTGCTATGTATATATATATATATTATATAACTATATAACTGTTTGAATTCTGAGACTTGCTGAAGGACAAATGTATCATAATATGGCATTATGCTACGATCAAGTTTCCGAATCGATTGCTATGACAAAAAATGCTGCAGACTAATCACTATCACATCATAGAGCCCAGACTTCAAAATCTTCTGACTTCATTGTCTTCAGGATCTGTCAGACTTCAGAATCATCACTAGCATCAAAAAGCCACAAGACCAAGCCCGAAAAGCACAGTGACTAGTAAATGCTCAATGCGTGTGTCTATTCGCTGCACATCAATGATGATGGTAGATGATGATGTGGTTGTTTTCATATGGAACTGATACGGATTACATTTTGTAGGACTGTATGTGAAATTTATATACTGGTGTCATGATTGTGTACAGTACCAACAAAAACATAGCAATGTAATTTACCAATAGTTTACCACTATATCAAATCATCACGACATCCGACAGGCGGAATTTCCGTTTTGTGTCTTCCTTTGGTGGGCAACGTTCCAGCCACAGCCGTGCAACGTTCCACCGTCCAGTAGGACACGGGTTTCAACAAGAGCAAACCCATCCTGGTCACTGGCGCCGATGGTGGTGTGGGCTCGGTGGCGGTCTATCTCCTAGCGCAGAAGGGATTCCAAGTTGCGGCCTGTGCCCCGGAGGGTCTGGGGGGGGCCCGGGAAACATGTTGTAATATGGGTATGGATCAGAAGCTATAGAAAATTTGAGGGAATGATCGGATGAGCATCCATGAATCGATCAGGTTTTTTGACACATGGCCAGATTGGCCCCAAATGATGGATTTTCGACAGGAGTTGAGAGAATAGCATCTTTGAGATCATTGCACCACTCGCTCTTGCCCCTGACTCCTTGACATTGGTTTCTGTGTTGATTTTTTAGGCGGCAACTATCTTCATGGATATGTCATGATGGATAGATGTGGATGTAGAATGCCAAACAATAACAAGGATCAGTAAACTTCTGGGCCGTTTGATTCACTGGGGACTACCATGTGTACAGCCATGAATATCGCTGTTTGGGGATTCACGCCCGATCCTGTTCATCAACCAGGGTTTTTTAATGATCCCGCGTGGACATTCCAGCTGTCCAAGACTGAGGTATTGTACCCAAGAAATCAATTGTTTACCGATCATTGGCTTATCATATCTTATCTGGTTGGTGGTTTGGAACATTTTTTATTTTTCCATATATTGGGAATAGTCATCCCAACCGACACATATTTTTCAGAGGGGTTGAAGCCACCAATTACTTATCATATTTTATCATCTGGTTATTTAACATAGCCATGGAAAGATCCACCATTTTTAAGAACGGTAAACCATCTATCTCAATGGGCCATGGCTTTCATGGCTATGTTCAATAACCAGAGGGTATCATGTGTTTTTCCTCTGTCAAAATTGCTAGAAGTGCTATGCCCCCATGAACTTTGTCCTCATCTCCTCATGGCCCCAGGTACCCGTTTCAAAGACACAGAGCCCAGAAGCTCGTCCTGGCATGAACACAGAGTACCTCAAAATCCTACAGTTCATCATAGTTTTATCATGTTTTAGATGTGTTTAGTTAAATTTGCAATGATTTATGACATATCAACTATTCATCAATAATTCATCGCAGTTTTACTCATCCATCAATACATGAAACTTTGACCGGATACCCCCATATTTTCAGACACGGCTTCCCGCTGGGACCTCGCTGAACGCACCTGAGGATTGAAGAAGTTGGGTGCAACTGAAGTCATCGGCGCCTTAAGCACGGATAGCAAGGCCCTGGACGAAGAGAGATGGGGAGGAGCCATTGATGTCGTCGGAGGCTGGGAGCCTCCGGGTGGAAAGCTGTGTACGGACTGGTATGACTTGGATGCCGAAGCTTTGGAAAAGTTGGGAAATCGTGGGCTTGGCCAACTAGCACTGCAATTCGCTATAAAAGAGTAGAATGTTCAATAATGTTTATATATAATTATACAAGGCTATAATGATCTATACAATCTATGTATACATGTATATTTTTGTCTATGTCTGTTTATTGACCTACCGGCAGGTCCGACCATTCCGACCATTGCCTCACAGATGGCCTATGGCTGCAGCATTGCCAGTTGCGGCGTGGCTGGAGGGCCTGCCATTAAGACCACGGTGTACCCCTTCATCATCCGAGGTGCCACGGCTAGCGGTCGTGAAAATTAAGGCCAAAATATGTCAAAATGTGTCGAAATAAGAGTGAAAAAAACTGCTTGAGAAAAGATATCGTCTATAAAAGAACTCGATTCTTGTGGATGATTCGTGGGATGCCACAAATCCCCCTCGAACGGTGGAACTGGCTGGTTTTTGGAGGTGTGCCGGCCCAGTTCTCACCTCGCGAGGTGTGAAACTATACGGCGTGGATTCGGTCTTTGCTCCTACTGTTCCGGGCTTAGAATGTGCATTGCTCACAAAGGTACCTATACGATCCCAAAAACGATCCAATACCCATAGGATCCATGTATGCTATATATGCTAACATTGGGGGTATATTGATGGTAAATGTTACCATATATATAGCATACATGGATCCTATGGGATATGATCCAATAGGTACCTGTACAAGATGCCCGTTTTCCATCCCACATTGGACCTCCAGAGATCAAACAGCAACTAATATACCCTCTGGTTATGACGAACAGTTTGCCATGGAAAGATCCACCATTTTTAAGGTCGGTAAACCATCTATTTCAATGGGCCATGGCTTCCATGGCTGTGTGAAATAACCAGAGGGTACTACGAAACTTCAAAGACACCATTTTTTCGGCCGGTGTTCACAGCAAAACCCGTGAAACACTTCAGATTGACGTGACCGAGTCGAAACACACCGAGGACGTGCGACAAGAAGTCTGGACGGATCTGGCAAAGGTGCCAACTGCCATTTGGCAAGGGATGCGAACAGAGGCGCGCCATCTGGAAAGGAACAAGTGTATGTGTTTCAAACCATTTCAAGCTTGGGGGATCAAAATGTCCCAAAGATCATGGCAGTAAACATCTTTAAACTATGCAGAGCTTCACGGTTTCAGGTTGGTGATTTTGTTTTCCGCAGCCCCCATTGTCTATTTGTCTCACATGCTGCCTTGGAAAACCGGGAACTTTGTTCCGTAAAAACCGCCAAAAACTGGCAACTTTCAATGTCCCCAGAAGGATTTCAGAAACACAGGCACACTTTATCAAATCTGTAGGGAATGTTTCAGGATTGTATGTTTCTGATCTTTTCTGATCCTTGGGACCACTGCAATGCCTCCTTTTTTTTCAGTTGTTGAGAATGACATTGGGGTCCAGCCATGTCTCGTCCCTGTAGGTTGCTTTGGTTGATCTACACCAAGCAGCTTCCCAGATTTTGGCTGGAAGTATTCGTGGCCGTGTGGTGGTGAATGTCAACCTCAAGACTCCGCAGCTGACAGCCGTAGATACTTGTCGTGAAGTGTTTGCTGTGGAAAATGTATGCTGGTGAGAATATGTGAGAATTATATTGTTGTGATGGTACTGTGATCGTTGTCTGATTGTAGTTATATGACTATACATGGCAATATATATAATTATATATAATCTAATATATATATATACCGTCTATATATATATATACATATTAAACTTGTAAAATGCACCCTGATTCCTGCAGCGGTGCATGTCAGGAAAAGGAGGAGGAAGATTTAGAGGCCTTGAAGAAGAAACTTGGCGATTTGAAGGCAACTGAATGATTGTTTGCTGATACAATGAGGATACCCTTTGGTCATTTGATGTAGCTATGGGAAATCACCAATGTTCAATAGATAAATCATTGTCAGTCATCTATAAATGGGCCATTTTTCATAGCTATGTTCAAGAACCAGGGGGTATATCAACCAGCAATGACAGGGATGCTGTGGAAGCCAATGCCCATGTAGTTCGATGGTGGGCCCGATGTTTTACCTATTGAAAAATGGTGATTTTCCATAGCTATGTAATAAATTCATAGAGATATAGAGGGTCTAGTTTGCTGATAGGATGATTCAATGCGGATATATAATGATATATATATATATATACCAACATGATAGGGAATGAACATTTACATATATAATGGATATTGGCATATATTCTGGGGAAACCTTAAATGGACAGTTTATAGAACCATTAGCTAACCAGGTCATGAATCAAGTGTTGCAGGATTTCCATCGGATGGCAGTGACATACAAATCATCCTTTAGGTTAAGGTATTGATATATCTCGTTGCAACCAATACCCTCCGGTAATTTAGGATAGCTATATCGAAGTCAGCAGCATTTTGTTTGTGTTTAATAGGTGAATAATGCTGAATAAGTCATTTGTAGATGGGCCCCTTTCCATAGCTATGTTGAATTGCCAGAGGGTCAGCAATGGGCTTGGCTCGGAGGTATATATGGAAGAACTACACCATGTTCCTTCAGTTTGGAAGGATACTTCTAGAATGAGTTAGTGGCTAGTTGTTGCTGTGCAAGCTTAAGGATGATTCCATGTCACGAACATGTTTGGAATGCTTTCCAACATAAAATACATAAACATGGCTTGAGAATCCCCCAGCTGTAGCATGTTTGATGATGTTCCGAACTAAACCTTGGGGGATGTCCTGGATGAGAGACCAGCGTCTCCAGGAAGTGCTTGGAATTGCGCAAGTCCTTGACAGCAAAGTGGCTGGGCCGACTACGGTTTTTTGCAGGTATGGCAACCCCCAAAAACATGCCGAAAAGTAGGAAGCATGGGGAAAACATGGGGAAAACACCAAAAACCATCCTGCAAAAATTGTGTCGGCATCTCTTGTCGGCGATACATAGTTACTTTAAATATCATAGGTATTTGACAAACCATGGACAAAAAGAAATCTCAACCTCTATCCCGTCCCGATCGTTTTCATTCCAAAAACAATCAAAAACCAAATCGAATGATTTAGAATATATACTATACGGGAAATGATACGGACCTCACGTAATCATCTAGAATTTCTAAGAAATTCCAGTCGTGTCCCAGAAATTTCCCATGAAATCTCCCCATCATCTCCGCTTCAGCACCGTCCACGCCGTGCACGCAAGGTCCAAGATAGTCTCTGCAGACCAAGCCATGAGCAGCTTGCAGTCCGAGCTTGGGGATTGAGCTACCAACGAGGGAAATCCAAGGAGATTGAGCAGCCAAAAATGATGAAAAATGTTGATTCGAACGCAGAATCATATGGAATAATGATGGTTTACTATTGCTTTACCATATTATTTGGAGGACTGCGCATCTTGCTGCCGTTGGGACGCCGATGCCAAATTCATGTTCTCACAATGGCAGGTGGCTGTCCAGGCTATTGCGATCACCACCGGGAGATCCGCCAGTGTTAATCCACTGGCAATCCGCTGTTGTTTTTTCGAGGCACTATCTTGGATGGAGACTGCGTCACGAGTGCAGGCTTTGTAGCGACCATGCCCTGCGACTTGGTCGGACTTGGTTTGGTTATTTTGCTTCGATGTAGCTGGTCCAACTTCCAGAATGTGTTGAGTTGTATGGGAAGACAAAAGAAGTAGCCTCTGCTAATCAAGTAAATCCCCCATTCAAAGAAATCACATCAAACCATATCAAATAATTGTGATTCAAACCTGTGATTGGCTACGGCCATTTCAGAATAACTGGAGGGAAAAGCATGGAATCCATATGCGGAAGCTGCACCACAGCGTGTACTGGTATTGATCTGAGGTGATGCATTGATCTCGGCCCTCCGCAAGCGCTCCTTGGCACGACAAATCGTTTTTCATCACCGGGTTGGAAGTGAAAATCTGAAAGAATCGTCAAATCAGGGGGGTTTTGCTGCAGAATTGTCCTGAAACCATTTCTGGCTGGTGGTTTGGAACATTTTTTTTATTTTCCACAATTAATATCGGATAATCCTTCCCATTGACATCCATTGACTTTCATATGTTTCAAGATGGTTATTGCACCACCAACCAGCTGGAAATGGCTTATTGTGTTCCAAATCTCCTATGCAGCGACCCACAGAGGTTCTAATTCTAAGCCTGATATGGCGAACTAATATTCTAGAATATGAATATGGATATATCATGATATATCTATAGAGAATATGGATACCATTTGGATGGCGAAGTAATCCAAGTAATCCAAGTTTGCAATACCGGCCTCAACCAGCCGAGTAGATTTGGGAATGACAGAGGGTGAACGTCACCTGGCTGGTGTCGTTGCAGGTTACGATAAAACTGGGCATCCCAGAAATCTGGAGATGGTCTTTCCGATCATTGTTGCTGGGTGTGGAAAGTCACAAACGGGGGATTTTGCTGAGTCGACTCAGGATCAATCCTTTCCATGGCAGGACACCACCCAGAAACCATGCTTTGGTGGAGAACTTACACGCATTTTGGGAGCATTTCAGGGTTTATACACGGGGGGATTGTTCTTGGATCATGAGACAACCTCACCGGTTCGATATGTTCAAGACTTGAAGACCCTCAACCTTGGATGGTGCCGGCTTTGGCAATTAACAAGTCGAGGAGATGGTGGATACTTGCGCGCTCCTAGTTTTTTGATTTTTTGGATATGCCCACCTGAAATTTGATGTTCAAGAATATCAATGTGACCAACAGGAAATGTGTATATATAGGGCCACTCGTAGTTTTCAGGTTTGACTGTGTTCCTCATGAGCTTTCAGGTGGACACATTGACACATTGCAAACCGTCCCGGTGAAAATTCACCCTTCCTGAGGTATCTAACCAATCTGACCCAGATGGGTTTGTGTAAAAATGCTGGATTGCCCACCAATATACGGCAATCTTTCTGTGGAAACTGATGAATAAACTACTCCAAAACGAGCGTTTTTTTCACAGGGGAAATGATGATAAGTTGCTCCAGAATGGCTGCTTTTTGTCCAATCCATTTACCCTCTGGTAAACTAACATAGCTATGGAAAATCACCATTTTCAATGGGTAAATCCACTATAAATGGCCATGTTCAATAGCTATGTTAAATTACCAGAGGGTAATATTGATGATCCATTCCCAAAACCCAGAAACCCCGCAAAGTGGGGTAGATCTCTTGGAGTCCAAATCTCTTCAGACACAGATAGAAACACACATCTTTCAGTTTTCATGGGGAAAATGCATGAAAAATGCTCATAAACTCCGCCAAAATGGCTGATGGCCGGGTTTTTAGATCCATGTAGATCCATTCTGTATCTTGTTTAGATCCATTTTCTGATCTCCCTAGATCCATTTCAGTGCCTAGGTTGGCGACCGCGAAGGTCGAGGTACAGAGCCCATCACACCGATGGTGTCCAAGGCCATCTTTGGATGGACCGATGTCGCATGGCGGATGCCGCGCTTGTCTCGGTTGATGAAACCAGGGATTTTCCATCGGGGAATTTGAATTTGACCATCCCTGGATGGGAATTCAATGGGAATTTATCCTGGGTGGTGGTTTGGAACATGGCTTTTATTTTTCCATATATTGGGAATGTCATCATCCCAACTGACGAACTCATATTTTTCAGAGGGGTAGGTCAACCACCAACCAGGGGAATTTATCTATGAAATAACCTGAGCCATGAACATTTCAGAAGAAAAACACACTGAGTTTCGTTGCTGCAACCCGATGTTTTGGGTATTCGCAGGGATTCGAAACATCAAAATCATCGGATGTTTTGGCTGGGTTTGACCATCAAAATTCTGGGGATATCATTTTTCCAACTGATGGTTGATAGGTTATGGGGATTATGGTACCTGGTAAATTGCGGTAATTATTGCAACCCATAAGAGGGATATGTTTTTTTCTATGTCAGCCAACCAGTACTGTGGAATGGGTTGAAAGGGGAATGGTGTTCATGGTTCATGTAACACTCATCAGCTCCGAAAAAAATCATCACGATGGTTTTAGTGATTTTCTAACAAATCAGAGTCGGGACGCTTAGTTGCGCAACTGATTGCCAGTGTTGACACAGTGGCAACACCCAATTCATCAACATATGCAATCAATAAGGTGTTGCTATATCAACCATAAGTGATATATTGCCAATAGGCCAATAGGGGGCTTAATCATTAACACAGTAGCACTTTGTTGCCTAGTTGTTCCTAGGTTGAAGCTTAGACAGGCACCTTAAAGGACATCAACTTTTCCCATGACATCGAGTCTGGTGGTGAACCACCGACCAGTCGAAGCCACAAAGGGTTGGTCGTGTCAGCAGACCATCCAATTCTTGGGGTGAATAGTTTGAGAATTCATCAGACCATCAGATATCATTTGACCATATTTGACCGTCAGAACTTACAAACGCCCATTCGAATGTAGCAAACCATGGAATATCTGGCGAGTTCCGATGATGGCCAAGTGATTTGACCCTCCGGGAGGGTGGAAAACTCCAGGTCTGTCCCGCATTCACCAACGCCGTTCTCAGTGGGAAGATTGAAGCTTGGAACAGCAGATTTCGGCGTTTAGAAATCTGGAACTTCAATTGGAATCACATCTCACATGTGTGTGTGTGTGTGTGTGTGTGTGATGTAGCGTGATGTTGATACTTCACATGAATCTATGTTGATGTGAAAAAGGAATACTTGCGATGTATAATACTGTACATTTTTTGATGCTACATCCCAAGAATTGGACCTGCGGAGGACTCTTGAGGACTTGCCGGTGTTCGGCATAGTTTAAGAGGCCAACATCATGTGTGGATCATGGTGTTGGCAGATCCAAATGCCGGCAGATGATGCAGCAAGTTCAATTAGCGTTGCAGCGGTTGATCATCCGCCGTGGCGTCAGTCAGCTTTGCCACAGAGAAATTCTTCATGACTTTAGGATGAGGGCTCCAAGCTTGAAATCGCCATCATCATAAGAAAGGTGTGCCATCTGCCCATCAAAGGGGAAGACCATTCCCTCAACTTTTGTCGGGCTAGGAAAATCTAGGAAAAGGACGCCCACAATGATGGGATGACCAGCTGCAACACGACCATGGCACATGGCTACGTCACCGAAGCTGGCTGTCAGGAAGCCTACAACTTGCCCATGGGCCAAATCAGCCACATGATTCGATCTTCTGCCAATGGTGTCCCAGGTGGGGACATGTGGGGACCCATGGACCATCATGGACCCACGGTTTCCGGGGATCCCCAACAGTTGGAAAATACGAAAATGGTCGAATGAGTCTGACTTGGACGATTCGGGGGTTACCCCATTTTAGGAAACCTCCAAATAGATCTGGTGATTCGTAGATTCATTGCAAACGAAGTATATAATATTATATAATTAAGAGTATGTTTGTGCCATACATTTGCAAACATGTTCATAGATTGACGGATAGACAAGATAGACAAGGTGGATACTGATAAGATAGATACGACGGATATGAAATAGGTATGAGAGATAGAATTGGTGGATAAATAGATAAGATAGATCCGCTAGACTGGGTACACGATGTATTAATGATGGACAATTAGATGGAATTGGATAGATAGCTGGTTGGTGGTTTGGAACATGTTTTATTTTTCCATATTGGGAAGTTCATCATCCCAACTGACGAACTCCATCATTTTTCCGAGGGGTAGGTCAACCACCAACCAGTAGCTATACAGACTTTGCACCTGCTTAGCAGATTGAGCTGCAGATTCTGCAGGTCACCTCTCCAAAGTGGGTTTGCACACCTTCGCCGATCCGCGCAACGGTGGCGGCAAGCGCAACAAGCAAACCACCAAGGATGTGGTGAAGATACAGGCGAGGGGTGAAAACTGGGATGGCTCGAGACCCTAATCTAAACCAACATAGATGTGGAAAGATTGAAAAGCCCATCGTTTCCCGGTCGGAAAAAAATACAGATGATCTACAAATGGTGGGTTTTCCACATCGATGTTAGTTGACAGAGGGGTACATGAGACCTTGGAGAATGATGGAAAATGGATTACTTGGAAGTGGATAAGTGTCGGTGGGTTATATTATATTACCCACCAGTTAGGTTCAGTTATAACATGTTATAACATGGAGTTATAAACCACCAAGAAAGCTCCCTTGAAGTGGATTACATCATATTACAGCCCATTTTAGAAGAAACCGGGCTCTGAAGTGCTGACCCACAGCTTGCAACTTCGTGGCTGGCTAGCTGGCAGATATGCAAATGAATCACTAGGAAGCCGGGGATACAAAGGAACGTGGCATCCAGCATTCATGAATAGACATGTCATCCTTCAAGAGGAATTGTGGGTATATGGAGGTGTCCTAAGATAGGGGTACCCCCCAGCCAGTCATCATCCATTTGTTGTTGGTATTGTTTAATTACGTATTTTCCCATGAAATAAACCATCCAGCTATGGGGGTACCCCTATGAAACCCCCAGATCCATTTGCCACGGGCGGCAGGAACTGGATGGTGAGGACTGCTCGGGACCTGCTTGGCATCCCCAACAAAAAGCCAACCAATGCACTGTCGGTCCAACATGTCCGCCGTTGAATTGCCGGAGTTGCCTGAAAATAGGGTACCCAAAAATACATGGCTGTATATTATATATATATGTAGTATATATATAATTATATTATTATTATTACTATTCTTATTATTATTACTATTATTATTATATATATATTATAATAATATAATAATATTATATATATATATATTATAATAATAAAATATATTATTCAAATAATCACCAATAGTCACCATCTATCATCTATCACGATTTTCCATGTCGGTATGTCCCAGTTACCGAGGACCCAACGGTCATCAAAAAGCACACGAGATCGCACAAGTCATCGGTATTGGAACGCTGGAGATTTGGGTTCAACAACCACTGCTTAGTTGCAGCAACCCAAATTCCATGAAAGATGGGTTCCACAGCCATGGCCCATTCCTCTTGGTTCTACCTACCCAGGTATCCCAAACAAATTTTGCCCAGAAATGGTCGTCACCAGCTGCTGGGGAGTTGTCTCTACATCCCCAATACTTCACAGCTCTTAGCTGTTGCCTATTGCGGGAAATCACCCACTGGCACTGACATATTGAAGCCCTATGTTCAGATACTAAATTCATGGTTTAAAAGCTGATTGTCCCCTTCAGAATTGCCATATACAGCTGTAAATCCACCGTTTTTGAGCTCAGAACTCAATTATCTTGGTTTCATAACATACCTCCATTCTTTCTTCAATCCTGTTAAATCCCCCGTGGTTGGACATATATCATAAAATCTCCCCGTCAAATTAACAAATGGTTGGTTTCTTTTGCCCTGCATAATCATGTTGCTAAAAGCCACAAAATCTGATAAATCCCACGAATTTGATGCTTCAATCTCCCCGGGTGAAGGAGTACATCTTTTACCCCACCCCAAAGATCACCGTGGCGCTGCTGCGCGGCTCACTGGCGGATGAAGCGGGGAACATCTCCTTCGAACGCGTGGCCTGGTGGAGCATGTGCTGGTTGCGAGATCATTGGGAGATCATGGGAAAATGCTGGGATACGATTATTTGGCATGAGATTTAACGGAATGAAATAGATTTCACCAACAAGAAAGGGAAGACGATTGTGATTCTAATTACCATCAAATTCATCAAATTGGGATTTTATGGGATTTGACCAACAAATTGGTGTGGTATAAAACCAAGCACAACAGGGATACAATGATTAGTGGATCTGAAACGGGGAAAAAAGTAGTCCCTAAACAACCACACACAGGGGTATAGCACGACATTTCCAGAGACCCTCAGAAGTGGCCATTACCAAGGGCTGAAGTGTACGGCACAAGAGGATGAAGGAAATGGCTGCTAAAGTATAATGATTAATGGCTGACAGGAAATAGCTGAAGTGATTAGATCAATCAAAATGTGTGTGTGTGTTGATGTACTACAAAAGTTGCTGGTATAATATCTTCCAGCCTGATGATCGCGCAACTTGCCAGCACAAGACGAAAATACATCTAAAACCTCAGTGGCAGAAATAGTTGTAGGTAGATTTAGGTAGTTCGCACCAGTTCGCAAGTTCCCCCCAAAACCATCTATTAAATTCTATTAAGATGTTCCCCATCAGTGCCTGCGCCGAGGAACCGTTGTTGTTGGATTCTTTAAATCAAGCCATGGCTGCAAAGAACAATGGTGGCCTGGTGGTGGTGCAGGCGAGGGAGAGGCGGTTCGCTTCACATCTTGGTTTGGAATTCGAAAAAAAGGTACTGAAGCTCCAGATCCACAAAAAAAAATCCGCACTTATGTTTTCTTTGGAGTTTTGATGTTTTTTCTTGGAATCATTAGGGTTGGCCCCAAAAAAAACAGAAACGGAGGTGCAGCGTGTGGTGCCTGTCGGAAGTTTGGACCACAGACGGGTTCACATCCCTGGAATGTTGGTAGATGCTTGGTGAAAATTGGTGAAAATTGCCATCTAAAATTTACTATGATTTACTGGGTTTACTGGGTTTACTGTGTGTGAAAATGCGGATTTACTATGATTTACTGGGTGTTCACCATCGAAAATTGGGATTTGATGGAATCTAACGAACTAAAACGGGTGTGTTTCAAACCCACGAGAAAACATCATTTCATCCACTGGTGAAACATCATTAACCCTGCCAGCAGTACTAGTCAAGTTAGCCTTTTTGGGGGGCAGATCCAATTTTTCACCCACACACATCATGGATCCTTCGATGCAGTTATGTGGAGTGCTCGTAATTTGACCAGGCAAGACATCAGTGTAGAACTCCGTTCCCGTGGGGGCGAATATTTCACACTTTGCCAACAGAGACATGTTTTGATGCACAAGCAAAGGAGGAGTCATCATTATCAGATCCCAAGGGGGTACAGGATAAACATGATTTGGGCCCAAGATTTGATGGTCTCTTCTTCTCTGTCTAAAAAAAGCCAAGGATATGGTGGTTGTGGCCAACAGCAAGGAGCATGCCGCGGTGACCTATGCTGCGGCGGATGAAGAGCCATTGGGCGAGTTCGGCGTTGGTCAATGTGAAATGATCCCAGTAATGTATATTAATGTGATCAACCCAGGAAATTTTATTGGTTGCATGGCAGTATCACATTAATGGGTTTATAAATGTTTATAACATAATATATCCTCATGAGAATCCTATGATCGCTCATCATATCAAAAAATGGTGGAGTTTCATACCTTCCATCACTTGGTTATTGAATGTCATTGATTCCGGGGCAGCAGTGATGCTAGTGGCATATAGCGGCATTGCTTTAGGCCAGATGGCCAGATGCAGCGAGAGTTGCTGTGGATTCGATTGTGTGATACAATCTTATACATACAGTAGATATATATATATGTATATATATAATTATATATATATAGTGTGATATTATCTATAGGTATAGGCTATAGATACTATAGGCTGCTATAGATAATAGATACATGATAGGACGCATCTTGATGTTGTCCTTTTGGTGGCTTCAAGTATATCTTTCTGCCCACTTTTTTTAACACTCCTTCCACAGTTTGAAAACCATCTTCCACCGTGGCTTGCTGCAGCCGAGGTATGATCCAACCCTGTCCGGAGAGTTGAAACCACTGCAGGCAGCGCAAATGGAGGAGCTTCCTTGGGAAGGCGGGGGGATGCCTTCGGGATTTGACCATTGAATGCCGGGATTTCACTAGTCAAGTAGCGTGGATGTTACATGAGTTAACCAACAAAGCATGGTGTGAATGTGAATATAGATGGACAAATAGGTGGATGGATGGACGGATGGAAGATGGATGGACGGATGGATGGATTTTGGGAGGCTAGGTAGGTGTTGGTGAATAAACATATAGGTTAATAAATGAATAAATAGATCGATAAACTCAGACAGGTAGACAACGAAGAACAAATGACCAATGACGCCGCGACTTCACAGGCAAGTAAGGGGAATCATCCCCAAAATAGTTTGATGGGGACATGTGTAAATTACAACAATCATCTAAGTCATCCAGCAATAGGAAAGTGGATCGAGTCATATCCGATACGACATGAATTGTTCTGTGAGGTCCTTGTTAGTATTATGTGAGGTTTTGAATCAATCAGATGTTCAGTTGGGTGTTTCCTCAAACAGGGGTAGATGGTGGCAAAAAGAACAACCAAAAAATAAAGAGATATAAAGAGTAATCTCATCCTCCTAACATTCAATACTCCCATATCCTCCAAAAATGAACAGATCCTATCCAAAAATATACAAAACCATGGGTTTCTACCCTCTGGTAAACGTTTACATAACTATGGGAAATCACCATTTTTACTGGGTAAATCCACTATAAATGGCCATGTTCAATAGCTTTTTCTATGTTTACCAGAGGGCTATTTATATGATAAGCCATGGGGAATGGATGATGAATCGCCGCCGAGTTCGCCGAGGTCCCCGCAATGCGTGTCAGAAGCGGGTCATGGCGCACCGAGCGCTTTTCGAGGTCAAGAAGCCCAAAGCAGTGCCTCGGTGGTGGGCCAGTGAGCCATCCTACCATTTGATGGGATACATGTGTATATGTATATATATATATATTCTATTCTTACATTATTATATTATATTAGATTATATTATATTATATTAGATTATATTATATTATACTAGATTATATTATATTATATTCTGTATAATAGATATAATATAATATAATACAATATAATATAGTTTAATACAATATAATATAATATAATATAATATAAGATAATATAATAAAATAATATAATATTATATAATATTATATATATATGTACTGTATATATTTTGATGTGGATCTATGATGGGATAAAACATCCCCTCAAGTACTTACTGTAGGGTCTGGAATGGGTAGACCTCCAGGACTCCTGTAGCTAGGGTCTTTTTTACTTTCAGACCCAAAGTGGACCCTGCCGATTATGTGTAATTATTCCAGACCCTGTGTTGCCCATGTTAACTCGATTTATGTTCCCGAAATGGAAGCTTAAAGTGTCTAAAATTCGGTTCCCGAAATGGAAATGGAAGCCTAAAATGTCCAAAATTTGGTGCCCGCATGGAAACCTAAAATGTCTCAAAATTGGTCCCCGAAATGGAAACCCAAAATGTTTAAAAATTGGTTCCCGAAATGGACGCCTAAAATGTCTACTGTAAGAAATTGTTTCCCGAAATGGACGCCTAAAATGTCTAAGAAATTGGTTCCCGAAATGGACGCCTAAAATGTCTAAGAAATTGGTTCCCGAAATGGACGCCTAAAATGTCTAAGAAATTGGTTCCCGAAATGGACGCCTAAAATGTCTAAGAAATGGGTTCCCGAAATGGACGCCTAAAATGTCTAAGAAATGGTTCCTTGCTGCCTCCTTTGATTGAAAGGTTTTGCAGGTGTGACAGAGTGTACCCTAAATATGATACGTAACATGATCCCATTCAAGACCCCATGCTAGACCTTCATGATATGGCAGCCATCAATGTGCGTTAATCTACGCGTTTCAGAGGGGACGGCCTTGCCGTCCGCAAATAGCATAAGATCTATGGTCAAACAAGAAAATCACATGAAACCCTCAGGTAACCTCTACCCTCTGGTAAACAAACATAGCTATGGAAAATCACCATTTTCAATGGGTAAATCCACTATAAACGGCCATGTTCAATAGTTTTTTGTATGTTTACCAGAGGGTAAAAGACCTGGGTTTTAGGCTCATGTAAAATTCAAGGTTACTGCCTAGTGGCTGAGAGTATGATAAAACTGTATAGCTAACCAACAATAGTTAATTACAAAGGGGGTTTCTCCCAACCATTATATATATATACTGGTTGGTGGTTTGGAACATTTGTTTATTTTTCCATATATTGGGAATAATCACCCCAACTGACTTTCATGTTTGTTCAGAGGGGTAGGTCAACCACCAACCAGTATATATATATACATATATATATATACATATATATATTGTTTTTCATATAGGTGTAGACACAAAGGGAAGATAAAAATGTTTATGTAGTTTTGGCTCTATATCTACTCAATTTACCACCCCTTGTATCTGTGGTTTTGGGAGCAGCCCTGATAAACCTTGTATTTGGGGATGATGATTTCCATCCATAAATGTATGGAAGCGCTGGGAATGCTTTATTATTGGGTTTACCGCCTTCATCACAAAGTGGTTGCCATTCCTAATCCTTTTCAGCGCATCAATTGTAGCTTTGGGAATCCTGAAGATTCATCAACCGTAGTTTTATGAAAGCAATGCTGGCATTGCTTGTTTTAAGGGAACTTCGCAGGAAAACATGTTTTTTCAACCATCATTTTCTTGGGGGGTCTTGTAGATTATGCTATACAAGGACATGGAGAAACATGGAAACCCGAGGAAAGGCCAATAAACACCCAAAACATGAGGGGTATCACAAAATATCGATAAGAGATACTTGGGGATTGAAGTAACAGAAGCGTAGATAGTCCCAACACTAAAGGTATTGCCCACCTTTAAGGGTTTTGGACGATGCGTGGGATCTCCAGGTGTTGAACTTCGGCGTGGGATCTCCTGAGAGTCTCGGCTGATGTTATTTTGTCTGGGAGGTTTTTGCCGAAAAGTCCAGAAAAAACGATATCTGGTTGGCGGTTTGGAACATGAATTTTATTTTCCCCAATATATAGTTGGGATGATGATCCAATCTGACTAATATTTTTCAGAGGGGTTGAAACCACCAATTAGATATGCTGGGCGGGAACTATCCATAACCATCCTCAACCCTCGGCTTTCGCCATGTTTTGGGGCCTCGCAAAGTTTCATGACCTGTTCCCAAAAAATATGTGAGTCTTGGACAGAGCCTTGGGCCCAAGTGGTACACCCATAGTACCCTATTTGGTTCATTGGTAGCAACTCATAACGGAGCCTCAACGGAGAAATCATCGCTGCGTGGTCTGCTGGTTCTTTATATGATAATTTACCAGGGATGAGGAGAATCCTACCATAAATTCCTATTAAACTGAGGTTACATAAGCATTGAAATCCAAACCTGTCCCGAAACCTCCACGTTCAACTCATAGCTCTAGGTTTGTGGCGACCATGATGGCCAGTCATGGGCATCAGACTCCCAGCTCAATGGCTTGGTATGGCTTGGTCCTGGGCATTGCTGGTGGATTGAGGAACCCAAGTTTTTGACCCAAACCCAAGATCCATCATTTGACATCGTTTCTCTGGTGGTCTGCTTGAAAATATATTTTGGTTAGGCTATTCCGCATTCTTGGTGCTATTGCTGTAAATGTCCATGTTTACAGATGTTGTTCACAGGTTGAAAACGTGTCCTGTTGCCCGATCCATTCTTGGATGTTGTTCAAACGGCCCCTCGCAAGCGTTGCGAGATATCAAGAATTCTGGCCCAGGCCCCAATTGGCTGCTGTCATGTGTTGTTTTCAACGAATTTCAATCATTTCAATCATCATTTGGGATACCCTCTGGTGAACTAACATAGCAATGGAAAATGGCCATTTATAGTGGATTTTCCCATGAAAAATGGTGGATCTTTCCATTGCTATGTTAGTTTACATGGCTACAAGTAGCTGGAAAATCCCCCATTTGCAGATGATCTTCCCAGCTACCAAAAATGTTCAGGGATTTTCCAGCCGTTTCATGACATCGGAGGGAAAATCCATTAATAACTTATTAATTTAATAACACTTTAATAAGGTTTAATAACCATCATCAACTATCATTAACCATCATGAACCATCATCAACTATCATTAACCATCATGAACCATCATGAATTATCATTAACATTCATTAACCATCATTCTTCTCCCATAGGCTTGCAGCCACCAGCCGTTCAGGAATCCTGACCTGAAGGGTTTCATGGCCACTGTGGAGAGCGGTGTTTGGGGTGGCGTGCCACAGGGCGGCCTCCGCTTCGGGACCAGCACCGGCTTTGAGGTGGGGTTTGTCCCACTTTCATTGAATGTAGCTGGTTCACCACCATGACCACCATGATGATGGGAATATATGGGAATTCCAGGATCCAACAGATGGAGGTACTGTACCGTATAAGGCCATATTTTGTAGGGATATCCCCTTACATAGCCCTTACATATGGTAGGTACCTCCAATTTAGGTTCCTAATATGGCCAGTGATGGCACCGCATCAGGCCATTGTTCCCACCAGCACCATGATGGATTTCTACGTGGGCGGTGGTATCGACTATGCCTTCCTTGGCGTGGGAGAGGCGGGCCTTAAAAACCCCCTAGTTGACCTCAGGGCCTCTCCATAGCGCACTCATTGATCCTGGTTTTTTTCAATGGATTGGTTTAAGGGAAAATCTACAGGAAACCATGGTTTTAACCATCAAATATAGGGGTTTCCTGTAAATTTTCCCATCATCCAGTTCTATGATTTTTGGTCAGGCCGATGCTTGTGGCAACGTCAATGTCTCCAATTTCGCGGGACGTGTTCCCGGCGTAGGAGGTTTCGCGGATCCTCGGAGAGTCACGTTGATCAAAATTTGGAGAGAAGCTGCAGCCATACACTAATCAGTTTTTACTATTATTATTATTATCAAATTATCAAATTATCATCATCATCATCATCATCAACAACAACATCAACATCAACATCGTCAACATCATCATCCCCTCTCAACTTAAGGGATCAAAAATCCAGCCCCTCTGACAAATATGGTGACTGGCTTCATAACATCAATTCTCAGCATTATCATCAACATCAATTCTCGTTCTCCATTCTCCATTATTCTATATACCCATATCTCCACAGAACCAGGATCATCCTCATCCGAAGCCCACTGCACCTGCGCCCAGGACATTTCCGCCAATGCGAAGACGCTGATCTTCACGGCCACCTTGACCTGCGGCAACTTAGTCACCAAGGTGGGACGGAAGCTGCGGAAGGAAGGGATCCATATACCGGACGAGTATAGTTGTATATAATATCATACATAGAATGTCATGTATATATATATCATATAATAATATACAATATGAACAAACTCATATAATGTATTGGAATATAATTGTATTAATTATATCATATTGTATGAAAATTGTATGATACGAAATGCTATGATATGATATCATGTAGTATAATTGTTGCACCCTTTCTATCCCTGTCTATCTTCTGAGAGGTACAATAGTATATGTTTTTATATGTGTGCATACAGTTAGTCATATATCAAAATGGTGAAATTCTGGTTTATTCATACGGGATAACTATGAGATATTGATGGGAAATGATGGGATATATCGGATATTCATTGGAAATCATGGGAGGTTTTCATAATTTTCATGGGACATTGATGGAAAATGATTGAATAATGACATGATTGGATATTAACCGCAAATGATGGGAGAATAGCAACATTTTTAGTGGGAAATTGTGGGAATTTTTTGGGAAAATATTGCTGAAATCCTCAATATGAAGTCAAGTCCATACGTATGTGGCTTTGTCTCAGGAGATAGCTCTTAAAATTGCATGTTTTTAATGGGGAAAGTGATGACTTAAAAACCATGAGATTTGCCATATCTATCCCATCTATCCCAGACTGGTTGACCTGTCAGAATTTGAGGGGAAAATATGAAAAGATTTGAAACCCCCTGAGCTCAGGAGATACAGATTGGAATCCCATATATCCCATTGGTTGGTGGTTTGGAACATTTTTTACTTTCCATAATATATGGGATAATCCTTCCCATTGACGAACTCATATTTTCAAGATGGTTATTGCACCACCAACCAGCCATATATTGTCATCATTTCTGACCAACTGTTCCTTCGCCACGAAAACCACCTCCGTTCATCACCTCCTCCAGGTGGAGGATGGAAAGCTGATCATCGTGCAGGAAGGCTCCATTCAGAAATTCAAAAAGAAGCATCTAGGCCCAAACTGGCCGGGAAATCCCCTACAAAATGGTTTAATGCAGGTTTAACCATCAACAAATATGGATTTGATGGGATTGAATGGGAGTATAACAGGACTATAATAGGACAATATTAGTAGTGTTTGTTGATTAGGTGATAATAAAACTTCAAATAGTGATGATATGATACTTGACAGGTTCCCACCACCAATGGTAAATCCATGTAAATCCCATATCAATGGAGGTTTGTAGCTGGGAAGAATTTCTATAAACTGGTTGGTGGTTTGGAACAGCCCTGGCTCGAAAACCTGTCAGAGGTGGGTGACCCTTGCAAATTTTTCGGGCGTTCTCGGTTTACATGTTGGATGGTATTTCCACCTTGCCATGTCCTGAAGGGCTCTTCATCCCCAAATGGTCGCTGTTAACTACTGGTGCAAAGATCACTGTTGTGGTTGAACAAATCATCTGGAGTGAAAATGCTGGCATGGGGCTCATAGTTCCTGGAGGACAGGTGGTTAGGCTAAGTGGACTTCTCCCCCCTAGCATCCACACTGGTCGTGTCACTTTGGTTGGCTGTCGCTTCTTGGCCTTTGGACTGTTTGTGGATTTGGAAATCGATGACACCTGTGAAGTGCTGAGCCATCCACAGCTTTCTACGTCCCATCTCTTTAACCTGGTTGAGGTGTGTGCAGGTGTTGGACTTTCTGCGTTGGGGTTTGAGAGAGTTGGATTCCGACAGCTGTGTGCCGTTGAGAAGCAACCGAAGCTGGCAGCTTTGCATGAAAGACTGCATCCGAAGGTTCCAGTCATTTGTGCTGACCTCACTGATGATCGGGTAGTTTGCCAAGTTTTCAAGCAATGCCAAATGCCCGCAACTGTCATGGCTGGATTTTCATGCCAACCGTTCTCACGTGGAGGTTCACAACAAGGTGAAAATGACAGTAGGTCATCATCGCTTCCGGCAGCCCTCCGTTTCATGCACTACAGCCAAGCACCAGCTTTGATCCTGGAATGTGTGGTACCGGCCCGAACCAATGCATATGTTCAACAACACATCCATGCCTTGTCCACACAACTTGGATATCATGTGGTTGATTGCACATTGAAATTGGAGTCAGTTTGGGTTGCATGCCGATATCGATGGTGGGTCATTGCAACACACCCATCCATTGGAGCTGTGAAGATACCCCCATTCCCCACTGGGTGCACACTGGTAGTCCGTGACCTCATGCCTTATGTGCACCGCTGGCCTGTTGAGGATGAAGCCCAACTGACGCTCTCTCCAGAGGAGACCATCAAGTTCCAGGCTGGTGGAAGGACCCTGAGGCAATATGCAGTCCAGCCAGAACAAAAGCTGCCTACGGCACTGCACTCATGGGGCAACCAAACCCAAGAATGTCCATGCGAGTGTCGGTCTCAGGGTTTCTCAGATGAGCTCATCAGTTCCAAAGGTATTTACTCACAGCTGCTCCAAATGCCTGCTTCTGCCGACGCACCTGGACTTTGGCGTCACTTGCATGTGCTCGAAGTTTGTATGCTCAATGGAGTACCGTTGGATCTCAACTGGGGCAGTGAACAGAGACTCAATTTGTGTGCAGCAGGGCAGATGGCAGCACCCATGCAGTCCCTTTGGATCGCATCCGCCTTGGCCAAACATGTACAGCTGTTGTTCACTCATGACATGCCATTGGAGCCCTTGCAAAAGCTCAATGACCTGAAACATGACCTGTTGCGACAAAGCAAGCAGCTTTACCCAGATGTCCAACCTTCGCTGTGCCATGATGAGAAATGCAGCATTGTCATTCATGAGCCTGGCCAGTCTGAATGGACGCTTTCATTCCATTCTGCGGCCAAAGTGCAAGCCTTGGTAGTTGCTCACAGCCGCATGCATGGCATTGATGTCCAAGACGTTTGGGTGCGTGACACATCAGGACGACTGGTAGCACATGATTTGCCACTGATCAAGTTTGTCAGTCTCTCCATTGGCAGTGCAGCAGTGATGTTTTGTGCAGAACCACCGGAAGCAATTTTGCTTGCTGCCCCTCTGACTGAAGCGGATTTTGAACCAATTGAGGCCGACGACGCCCATGCCACCCAGGTTGATGGAACTCCTGAGCATGATGCCATTATGGACTTTCCAGATGCACCTGAGACAGAGGCAGCTCATGAGGCTTTTGTTCAGAACCAGGTGACAGTACAGGACAACTCCATTGCGTCCCTGTTTGGACTTGAAGCAACTCAGTTAGTTTCGCAACTACCGCCGCTTGTTCTTGATGTTGAGTTGTGCAACACGATGCGTTTGCCAGCCTTGTCCAGTTCCACCAGACTGAACTTGCTTGACCGACAGGGCCAGATCTGGTCTGATGATGAAGTTTGGTGGCAAATGCAAGCCTTGGGTTCTGCCACCAAGAAAACCCACATTGCCCAGTTGGATCCAATCCTTGCGTCCTCATGGCTTTCCGTTCAAAACGTTGACTCCGTGCGTAGTTGGCTAGCCCTGCAACCCAAGTTTGATCGCATTGTTTCAGTCATTTTGTATCAAGGGCATTGGACACCGTGCATGTGGGTTGTCAAAGCATGTGAGTTGGAAGTGCACATCTGGGAGCATGAAAACATGGATGTACACGTGCTGAATCCCTTGCACGGTTTGCTTTGTCAGGCCATTGGTGTCCCCAGGTTTCAGATGTCATGCACACGGCGACAGTTTGGGCTCAATCATTGTGGAGCTGCAGCCATCGCTTTTCTCCAACACAAAATGCAAGGGACTGTTTTGCCCCAAGATGACCAGCACCTGGCCTATGTAGCTGACTCCTTGCGTGAAGACTTCCGTATGTCGCATGAAGGGTTTTCTCACATGCCTAGACCGTGGTGCTGGGGTGCAGGTCTTCCTGACGTTGCTGAAGTTACCGCCTCCCTGCTGCAACAGCATGGCGTGCCACCCAATGCCGCACCAGCCAGAGCCAAGCTCTTGATCCAAAGCTTAGGTCAGGACACTGTACGACAAGCTGTCCAGGGCTCAGCTCCCTGGAAAACGTTGAAGAGCCTAGCCAATCAACAGACACCACCTTTCCAGCTGGTCCTGCCGGACGAACTCAATGCAGTTCAAAATGCTCGGAAGCCAAAGCAGAAGAAGTCTCCACAGTCCCACCAAAGTTCCTCAAGACCAAAGGTGCCACATCAGGTTGAGATTGATCCCTCTAGGCTTGAACTTGCCGAGAATACATTCAAGATGGAAGATGGCACCAGTGCACCGCAACTCCAGCTTTCTCAAGTAGGACCTCTTGCCGTAGGTGTTGCCTTGGTTTCCTATCAAGATGCTGTACAGTTTTTGCAAGCTGGTCGCCAATTGACCAGCAAAGGTCTGGCACTGCTGATCATCAATGGCCCTGAAGACTTGCGTACTACGTTGCAGTGGAGTTCACTTCGTTTTGCAGCCAAGTGCTCAGCCAATCAACAACCAGTGCTCCTTTCAGGTTTTCTTGTGCAGTTGGGAAGCCAGAACATAGGACCGTGCTTTCGCTCTGATGGCCCAACAGTGTCCGATGTGCCAGTTGCCTGTGCTCGCCTGACAGTTTATGCAGATCAGTGGCAGCAAGACTGGGAATCTTTCGCAGCCCACCCGTTCAAACATGTGCTGGCCAAATTGGCCCCACTGCAGTCATGCCGCCTTGAGGAGTGCCATTGTGACAAGTGGCATCCAGATCACATGGAAGCGAGCCAAGATGTGCTGTTGGATGTCTTCAAACGGCAGTTCTTTACTGATGCTGGCCGCCCAACCAAACCTCAAGGCGCCACACATTTCAGTGTTCAGGTTCGATATCTTAAGTCCCAAGAATTGGCCTTGCTCAAGCTGTCCGGGGTTGGTGGAATTTATGTTGAGCCCAGGGTGATGGATTCCTCATCACCGTCTGATGAATTCCAGGTTGTTTGGATGCCTCAAGCCTCATTTGCATCGGCCCAGCATCAAATGCAATGTGAACCCCTGTGCTTAGGCCTTGCTAGGACTGGAAAGCGGTTTGGCCTCCGAGTGGCAGCCAAGCATTTCCAACAACTGTTCCAGAAGCTCAAACCTGATGGCCAATTTTTGTCTCCAGGTGTTCGCCAGCTGTGGCATTGTGGACCTTGGCCTTATGGTAGTGACCGGAAGTCCATCGGACGTGTCTTTGCAGACTGGGCTTGGCAGGCCAGGCCCTTACAGCCAGTGAAGCCGATCGAAGGTGGAGTTATGTGGTTGATCCAATCGGTTGCCGACCCACCACACACGGTGCAGAACATGGCACATGGCCAAGTAGTGATCTCCCGATGTGACTCCATGAAGGATGGTATGACATCAGCTGGACCAGTTGTTGGCCCTCAGAGCACAGTGGACTTGTGTGCAGCCACCTCAAGCACAGACCCTTGGCTGGTGCAGGATCCGTGGCAACAGGCAGTCCGCCAAACCCCAAAGCAGCAATGCCCAGATGTCAAGACACATCTTCAGGAACTGGAGGACCGCATGACCCAAAGTATCTTGGACAAGCTTCCCCAAGATCGCATGGAAACTGACGAGACAGAAAACCGTTTGCAGGTCCTCGAGCAGCAGATGCAGCAGATGGTTCATATGCACCAATCGCTTGAGCACACCGTCACCGAAAATCATCGCCAAAACTCTGCACAGGTCCAGACGTTGCAGGCCCAGATGATGACACAGATGGAAGTTCAAAGCAACCAAATGGCCCGTATGTTCGAGGACCAGATGTCGAAGCTTGAGACGATTTTGTCCAAGAAAGGCAGGTATGAGTGAAGGTGTGGTAGCCACAGCCAAAAGACCCGAACTGTGGTGAACCAAAGTTCACGGGCAATCAAGTTTCTTTTGTGGTTGATCACTTTGTTCAACTTTTTCAGCATGGCCGAGTGCAGAGTAGGTGAAGCCAAAACGCCAGGACCGTTTGCAGCCGAGCCTCCAGCCACTTGGTCTTTGGGGACCTGTAATCCATCAGGGTTACTGGGAAAAAGTGTTTTGCTTTCCGGCATTGACGCCGACATAGTCGCTGCGAGTGAGACACACCTCACGGTAGTTTCCCGCACCATGTTGCAGACCAGCCTCCGGTCGCATAGCAAGTACTCGGCAGTGGTCACAGGAGCACCCATGACTCCACGTGTTGCTGACAGTGCAGCTGGTGCCTACTCAGGGGTTGCAGTAGTTGCTAAAGTTCCCACACGCGCACTTTGCGCAGCTTGGCCTGACGACCTCTATGACACGGGTCGAGTTCAGATTGTAGGCAGTTTGGTTCACAACGTTTGGATCACAGGGGCCATCATGTACGGTTATCCACAAGGGAAAATCCATCACAATGCTTTGGATCGCACCATTGCCATGCTGGAGTTCCTTGTTGATCACATGACCAATGTTGCTACTGGACCCCGGTACCTGTGTGGTGATTGGAATTTTGAAGCCACCCAACTCCCAATCACACAAGTTTTGCACCAACTTGGATGGCGTGAAGCCCAAGACCTTGAGTTCCAGCGCACAGGTAGGGCCCCTCAACCTACCTGCAAGCGCAGCACCCAAAAAGATGTGTTGTGGTTGTCGCCTGAACTAGTTGCAAGCTTTGTGGATCTGCAGCTTGACCATGACCGGTTCCCAGACCACTCAGTCCTTAAAGCCAGGTTCAATGCAGGAAAGGATTATGCCTACAGGTACCTCTGGCCTATGCCGCAGCCTGTCCCTTGGGAACGTGTCCCTGACCTTCCTGCAGCCAACAGTTTTGACAATCGTGACCCGACCCTGGTTTACTCTGAGATGTGGCAAGCCAAAGAACATCAGGCAAAGCAAGCCCTAGGCAACCAATGGCAGAACCCGATGGCTGGAAGGGGCCAGAGAACATCCCCCACCATCAGGAAAGGCTGGGTCTCACCCCCCAAAAAAGGCCGTAGCATGGATTTCCAACCTGCTTTCCATGGTTACAATGTCCAACATGCGCGATGGATGAAGCAGCTCCGAAGGCTTCAAAATTACCAGGCATGGGCCCAAAAACACAGCGGCATGTCCACCAGTGAGGACTCCTTACATGGCATATTCCTGTGGAGAAGCATTTTGCATGCACCAGGTTTTGGAATTTCCTTTCAACACTGGTGGAAACAGAGGGAGTCCATTGGACTTGGGGACCCTGGTTTTGTCCCGGACTACCCGCCTGGTCCTGCACATGCCAACGCCTTTTGTGACATCTTCCACAGTGAAGTTAAGTGCCTTGAAAGACGCCTGCACTCAGCCAAGAAAGCCACTCGAATCAGCCAACACCAGCGTGATGCCAATCTGGTGTACAAAGACACGAAACGAGCCCCGCCTGAACCTGTGACAAGCTTGCTGATCACCAATCGTGCCAGAATCACTGAGGTGGATACTGAGGACTGCGCAGTGGATTTTGCTCCTGAATGCATGTTTGATGACACCAAGCCTGTTTTGCTTCACAATAAGCCCATCCCAATAGTGCATGCTACTGAAGGCCGCCTGTACCTTGACAGCGTAGACCATGCCAGCCCTGAACAAGTGCTCCAACAATCTCAGCCCCTGGGATCCCTCCCAGAGATTTTCAGTGCGTTTCATGAACAATGGAGACAAAGATGGTGTCGTCACGATGCAGTGCCCAATAGCCGATGGCAGCCGATCATTGACTTTGCACGTGCAACCATGCCGCACCAACCGGTGCCCCCGTTGAAGCTCACCCCAGAGTTGATTCGGGCTGAAGTGGTTTCCAAAAAGAAGCATGCCGCTACCGGTTTGGATGGTGTTAGCCGGACGGATCTCCTGCAGGCTGACGAAACACTCCTGAAAAGCATCTGCTCCTTGTACAGCCGTGCTGAGGCCGATGGCTGCTGGCCATTGCAGATCACCACTGGGAGAGTGGCGTCTTTAGCCAAGAAAGAGGGAGCAGCTTCCACAATGAGTTCCGCCCCATAACAATTTTTTCCCTCTTATACAGGGTGTACAGTGGGCTGCAAGCCAGAATGCTTCTCCGATGGTGTGACGACTGGACCCATCCAGATGTGCATGGGAATCGCAAAGCGCACAGCACCGCCCACCTGTGGCGCACCATTGCCACAGAGATACAGGTTGCACATGATCAGAAGCAGGCGCTGAGCGGTTTGACGGCAGACATCGAGAAATGTTTCAATTGCCTACCGCGGTGGCCCATCCTGGCAGCAGCCCTCCATGTTGGAACACCCAGCACTGTCCTCTGTGCATGGGCAGGAGCTCTGTCGGCCATGACCAGGAGGTTCAAGGTGCGTGACTCATATAGTGAAGGTTTTGTCACCAGCACGGGCTTGGCAGAAGGATGTGCCTTGAGTTGCTTTGGAATGCTCATCCTTGATGACATTATGCACCGTTACATCAATGCCCAGTACCCTACCATGAGGGTTCTCAGCTTTGTGGACAACTGGGACTTTTTGACATGGGACTCAACGGTAGCGGTCAAACAACTTGATGCCCTGCTGGCCTTTGCATCCATGACAGACCTCACAGTGGATCGCCAGAAGACCTACGGCTGGTCGACTTCTGCCCAAGTTCGAGCAGACATGAGACATGCTGGACTGCCAGTCCGGCACCATGCCAAAGACTTAGGAGCCCATGTTGCGATCACCAGACAAAGAACCAACCGAACGGTGGTTGACCGACTTGGCAGCCTGCAACCTTTCTGGCAACAACTCAAACGAAGCCGTGCCGGCTACAAAACCAAACTCCGTGCCCTGCGGACAGTTGCATGGCCCAGAGGGTTGTATGCCATCGAGAGTGCCCCAGTGAGCTCCAGCACTTGGACCACCCAACGGAGACAAGCAGTCCAAGCTCTGCAGTTTGACAAGGCAGGAGTGAACCCGTTGCTGCTGTTGGGCTTGGTGGAGACCGCAGTTGATCCAGAATATGTTGCCACCATCAGAACCATCGCTGAAGCCCGCATGCACTGCCCTTTCGACTTTTGGGCCAGTGACTTGTTTCCGTTAGCAAATGGCCTTGTTGATAGCCCACCCTCGTCTCCAGCGGCAGTCCTTCTTGACCGCATCCAACGCCTGGGGTTTACGGTTTGCCCTGATGGAACCTGGACAGATGAAATAGGTTCATTTCACCCGGGTCAGGTCAATTTTGCCGAGCTCACCAATAGGGTCCAATGGCAATGGAACAAAGTGGTTGCCAATGTGATGGGCTACAGGAAAGACTTCTCTGGGCTTGACAAGGTTGATCCCACCGCCACCAGACTTCGGCTTGCAAAGATGGCCATCGATGACCAAGCGTATCTGCGCCTCAGCCTATCCGGCGGCCTGTTCACCCAAGATGCCCACTCACATTGGAATGAGCAGGATGGTGGATGCAAGTGGTGTGGACAACCAGACTCGCTCCAGCATCGGTACTTTGAGTGTCCCCAGACGGCAGACCTTCGACTCTCCCTTGCACCAGACGTTTGTAGGCTCCGTGGACTTTTGCCTGATGCCATGGTTTTACGCTCTTGGGCGATCCTCCCGCCCACTCGTCTGCAGTGGCTTCGCATGTTGGCGTCTGTTCCTGTTGGCGTGCCCCCTACTTGCTGTGCCTTGGATTTGACCCGTTGGAATCATGTTTTCACAGATGGTTCTTGCTTCTGGCAGGCGAATCCCTCCTACCGTTTGGCTGCGTGGGGTGCTATCCTGGCTGTTCCTGCTGAGCATTCTTGGCTGGTGTGCCCTGTTCAGGTCCTTGGTTCAGGTCCGTTGGCTGGTCTGTGTCAAACTGCCTACCGTGGTGAACTGTTTGCGTTGGCCTGGGTCCTTCACCATGCTGCATGTGTGGGTGCTAGGGTAAAAGTATATAGTGACTGTTTGGGGGTTGTAAACAAATTCCACCTTGTCACTTCAGGAACAGCCACGCCCAAACCCACTGCGTCCAGTGCAGATCTGTGGTATTGGATTTTGGAATCTGTGGAGAGACTTGGACTTGACCGGGTTCAGGTTTACAAAACTGCAGCCCACAAACAGATGCATCAAGCGCGCAATCAACAAGAGGCTTGGCAGATTTGGCATAACAACAAGGTTGACCAGGTTGCAAAGCGAGCGAACACAAACCGCTCACAGATGTTTTGGCAAGGATGGCGTGAACACGTTGAAGCGGTACAAGCGGCCGAGCTCTTACATGAACAGGCTTGTGCTCTTCATTTGGCTGTTGCGAAACGCAGTACACAGACAGAGGAGCAGATGACACTGGATGATGCTCAGCCTGTGGTCCCGAAGAAGGTCAGAATTTTTCCGACCGTGTTTGACAGTGGAGGCTGGCAGGGTGAGATGCCACTGCCCTTTGCCCAAGAGTATGGTGCTGGACTTGCGCAACGAGTGCTGCAATGGTGGTCAGCTCGCACTACGGGCAGCAATGTTGGCCCAGTGCGGTGGATCACGTTTGCGCATTTGTACGTTGATTACCAACTTACCTGGGGTTCCCCAGGACCGATTAAGTCAGGTCAGAACTGGTTGGACCCGTCGACAAGACGCTACCTCAATCCTGAACGACATTCCTTTTTACTTCGATGCAAATGGTTCAAACGATGCTTGAAACACTTTTGGAAACACTCAGGCCACTCGGTCGGATTGGCGTTGTGCCGTGGAGAAGGTGAAAGCATTCAAAGTTTTGTCCCAGCTGCTTCGATTTGCTGGTGTCCTGTTAGTTGGGCAGGTGCCGAGCATTGGTTGTCGGTCGAGATTGGAGGGTCGTGCCTGCGTGGTACCAAGAAGTTACAGGCGCTACCGATCGCGAAAGCATCGCCACGGTATGCGCTGTTGTTGGACTCACCAGTGGTCCCTGGCATTTTCGGTGCCTAATGGTGTGATCTAAGGCCTCACTCCAAGACCCGAGTAGGCCGTGTCCGGAAAAGCGTGGAAAAGCGTGGTGGTTTGGAACATTTTTTCCCGAATGCGTAGCAAGGGTTCCCGTTTCACTCTGGGGGTCTGGGGGTTGAGGGTGTGTTCGCTAGACGTTGCGTTCACGGTCGCAACCGTTCGCAACCGTCCGCAACCGTTCGCGCGATCCCCGTATGGCCGTGCCTATATAGTAAGTTTTGCAGAGGTGGTCATTTTTGGAGGTGTCAGGCGTGTCGTTGCTTCGTTTCGCGTGGCAGGCGTGGCACTTCGTGACATTCAGACGTGCTGTGCAACGTGTTGAAAATCGTTTTGTGTGGCAGGCGCAATACTTTTGTGACGTTTTCAGAAGATGTGTTGCAGTTTTCGTGGCAGGCGCAGCACTTTGGACGTGTCCATCATCATTTTTTGTGGCAGGCGCAGCACTTTAGACACGTCCTGTTGCGTGTTTTTTGTAAATCGCATTGGCAGGGCTGCGTCAAGCGGTGACACGGTGCAAATTCCGTGGCAGGCGTGGCATTTTCTGACATGTGCTGAAAATTGACGGAAGCCTCGTACGAAACATCAGTTTTGAGGTTGCAAATTTTCAGGTTCTAAGGAAAACTCGTAGGAAAACGTCGATTTTGAAGCTGCAAAGTGTGAAAATTGGAGGAAGTCTCGCACGAAATGCTCGTTTTGGTGCTCCCACCTGTCTCGTCTCGCGTGTCTGGTTTTCCCGTGGCCTCGCCGTGTCTATGGGGGAAGCTGCAAAACTTGTCCTTTTGTCATGTTGCCAATTGTGAAAATTGCCGGAAGTCTCGTACGAAATGGTGGTTTTTCTGCATCCACGTGTCTTGTCTCGAGTCGCTGGTTTTCCTGTGGCGTCGCCGTGTCTATGGGGGAAGCTGGAAAACCTGTCCCTTTCGAATGTTTCCAAGCAGGTTGTCATGTTGTTTTGCGTGGCAGACGTGGCACTTTCTGACATTCCAACCTGTTTGATGATGTTCACAAAATTTCAAAATTGGAGGAAGTCTCGTAGGAAATGCTGGTTTTTCTGCATCCACGTGTCGTGTCGCGAGTCTCTCGTTTTCCTGTGGCGTTGCCGTGTCTATGGGGGAAGCTGGAAAACATGTCCTATTCGAATGTGTCCAAGCAGGTTGTCATGTCGTTTTGCGTGGCAGGCGTGGCACTTTCTGACATTCCAAACTTGTTACGCATCGCGTCGAAAATGTCAAAATTGGAGGAAGTCTCGCACGAAATGCTGGTTTTTCTGCATCCACATGTCTTATCTCGAGTCGCTGGTTCTCCTGTGGCGTCGCCGTGTCTATGGGGGAAGCTCCGCACTCCACACTCTACACTTTACACTCCGCACTCCACAGTTGACACTTTAAACTCCACACTGTACACTTTACACTCCACACTTTACACTTTGCACTTTACACTCCTCACTCCACACTCCACACTTTACACTCCACACTCCACACTTTGCACTCTTCACTCCACACTCCACACTTTCCACTCCACGCTCCTTACTTTACACTCCGCACTTCACACTCCGCACTTTCCACTCCACACTTTACACTCCACACCACACTTTACACTCCTCACTCCACACTTTACACTCGTCACTTTACACTCTACACTCCACACTCTACACTTTACATTCCGCATTCTACACTTTACACACTCTACACTCCCCACTCCACACTTTACACTCCACACTCCACACTCCACACCCTACACTTTCCACTCCACACTGCAGACTGGTAACAAGGGAAACATGCACAAGACTGTTCAAATAAACTATTGCAGAAAGGTATTGTGCGTGACTGCATAACCATGTGTTTTGACATCTGTACCATATGCATTAACATACGTGTGAGCATTCGGGTTCGTGGGCTTCATCTTGTTTATTTTTCAAGGTAATTTAATAATCCCAACTGACTTTCACATTTTTCAGAGGGGTAGGTCAACCACCAACCAGATAAATGATGTTGTTTTTCAGCAAACCATGTTTGATCCCAACCCCTGATCAGTTGATTTTGATGGGTCTTACCATGTCGTGCCTGCCAAAATGGGTTGATATTTCCTAAAGGAATGATTTGTTTACAACCAAAATTGGCTTATAGAAGAAATATGGTTGGATATGATAAAAGAATTTCTTGGAAACATAAATGAATCTTAATGGAGGTAATCCCATCTGCAGGAACTGTAACCATTCTTCAATGGGTTCTTTTTGGTGACGGCGCCCCTCGAGGGGCGGCACTGTTGTCACTTTTGCAAATTGTATGTGTTGGGGTGGGTTGGGGGGTGTAATAACGTTCTTTCGTTTGCGTTTCCAAGACGTTGCAACATTGCAATCAACTTCCAAGACGCTCTTGATACGTTGTGACATTTTCTTCAAGTAACTTCCAAGACGCTCTTGATGCGGTGTAACATGTTCTTCAAGTAACTTTCAAGACACTCTTGATACGTTGTGACATGTTCTTCAAGTAACTTTCAAGACGCTCTTGATACGTTGTAACATTTTCTTCAAGTAACTTCCAAGACGCTCTTGATACGTTGTGACATTTTCTTCAAGTAACTTTCAAGACGCTCTTGATACGTTGTGACATTTTCTTCAAGTAACTTTCAAGACGCTCTTGATACGGTGTAAAATATTCTTCAAGTAACGCTCTTGATACGTTGTAAAATATTCTTCAAGTAACGCCCTTGATACGGTGTAACATATTCTTCAAGTAACTTCTAGGACACTCTTGATATGTTGTACCATCTTCTTCACGCGTAGCAGGCACACAGGTCATTGACCGAACCTGGGATCACATGAAGTCATTTATTCCAAATCTTTCTTCCAGGAAATTAAATGTACTTGGAACAACTGCTGCGCTGATAAGACACTGCCTAATATGGCATTGGTTGCATGAAGTCTTGGCTCCTGGCTACTCCCTATGGGATCAGTTGGGCAAGCTGTGTAATAAAACACGACAAAGTTGGACTCTGGCGTCTCGCATGATGATGCAAAAGGGCTGTCGAATCATCACTTTGAAAAGCGCTGAAAGCGCCGCACGTCCACAGGGGCCGTAACCTTGTTTTCAACCAGCAAAGACGGGGATTGAATCAACCGAAATTGGGAGTCGTATTACAACGATCCAAAACCGCCTCATTAAGCTAAGGGTTCGTTTCTGATGCTCAACTCAAGTTTCTGATGCTTAACTGGAGTTTCCAAAGTTTTGGGGTGCAAGGAATTGATGAAACTCTCCAATGATGACAGCATCCAATCTTTTCTGATGATGATGATTCTCCCCTGTTTTGTTTGGTAATTCTTGTATAACCCCAACCCTTGGGCCGGGCAAAAAACTTGGTTTCCAACCAGGACTCATCAATAGCCCACCTCCCCACAGCCAGCCATGGCGGAGGATTGACGAGATCACCTTCCCGTCGACCTCACAGGGCCACCGCCGCGTGTGCTTCGTCACGGAGCGCTGCGTCATGGAACTGCGGAACCAGCGGCTGGTGCTCACCGAGCTGGCCAACGGCATGAGACGCTTGGTGGCCGTTGGTTTTGGGAGGACCACAAGGACCCCCCTGCCATGCATCAACTAGGGTTGATTTATAAGGGATTGACAATGTAAAGTACAAAATCAAGCACTTTTGTGGGTGTAGAATGTGGATATGATGAGGCTTGATCAGGATGAGATGTAAAGATAGCCTTGAACTGGTACAGTATTATATTGTACAGTAGATCATATGGAGGTTTCCTGAAATGGGGGTCCCCCCAAATCATCCATTTTTTGTTGGGATGTTCCATCAAAAAAGAAACATCCGGCTATTGGGGTACCCCCATTTATGGAAAGGTTGAGATTTTATATCCAGTAAAATGGCAACGTTTCTATTTTCTCTGGGGCATTTCAAGGTCTGATAATATGATGTTGGTTGTTATATCCTCATTCTATCCCTATTGAATGGTCACTCGGACTCCATACGGACTTCGAGACAACTATCTCTGCGGAGAACAGTCGTACGAGGTGTGGATGATGTCTTCAACAACATGGAGCCCCTTAGCGGCATATGGTGCCTCTTTTGGACAGGGCTGTCCCAAGCTGAAGCGATTTGTTTGGCGATGACATGGAATCAACACGTGGATATGGACCTCAAGAACTGGATGGTTGAATGATTAATGATGAAGTCGCATATTTGCACTCGGTTTCTTGATCATTGTTGGATGAAACATTGCGGGTTCCGGAATTGTCCCAGCACCATTTCCTTAGCCGAGGTTCAAACCGGACGTTGCAGAGAACTTGAAAACCTACGACCCCCGCATTTTTCAGCGCTAAAGGTTTGCGAGGCGCGGCCACCGGAAATCCAACATGGAACCCCCAGAAGTGGATTTTGAGTTTAATGTTGAAATATGTTGAAATATGTTGAAATATTGTTTTACATCGGGTTTCATCTTGATTTTTTAGGAGCTGCAAAATAAGGGTTGGGTTCGCATTATGGTGTAGCTCGACAAGTTCGACTGCCGCATTCAGGATCTCACATTAAGCACCCTTTGACATGGTAGTTCCTCCCTGGGATTTCGGATTTCTAGGTTTTTTTTAGAGATACCATTTGGTTATTTAACATAGCCATGGAAAATGGCCCATTTATAGATGGTTTACCTATCAAAAATGGTGATTTTCCATGGCTATGTTTAATAACCAGAGGGTAATTGCAATTTGTTATTGTATGCATAACCACTAGAAGTTAAAGTTTTTGCAGAGAGTTGGGGTTTCCACATGACATGTTGACATTCCCCTTAAATTTCTTGTCACAGTCAACATCAACTCAGGCGCGGGATTTGGTGAGCCCAGCCGTGGCCTAAAAAGTGGGCCCCCTGGAGTCTCGAGGATCGGTGGCCCAACCCAGGAGCAGTGGCCCAAAAGATGGTACCATAGGGATTTTTTGCCATGGCCATCCCTGGCCCAGAACTGAAACCTTTGATGTTTAGGGGATGTAACCGAGATGTGGCCACTGACTGGGTTGGTTTGCTCCACAATGAGTTGATCGGTTTAACTTTTAATCATGATCCCTGGTCTCAGACCTGTCCTGCATTTCAGGCAGTCCAGAGACCAGGTGGTGGTCTTTGAACTCATTTAAATTGTCACGTTGGAGTCCTGGATTTCCAAAGAAATACAGGTGCGAGAAGAAAGATGTCAATGATACCAGCCTTGTTCGAAGCAGGAAGGTGCAGCATTTCGAAGTCCACGACCCAAAGATCGGGCCAAGACGTGCCAGGAGAAGGTATAGTTTAACAGCACTGCTAAGTTCTCATTGAGCGGCTTCGTGCAGCAAGATGAAGCGAGAAAAGGAGGAGTGATGTATAATTACCGTGCCCCCGACATAGACCCTGAAAGTCAGCTGTGAAGGAAAGTAGTCTTCCAATCCACAACTCATGGCAGGTCTATGTTGGGTATAGTTTCAAACGAAAATTATCTCAATTTTGCTGGTGTATTGGTGCCCTAGCAGAAGAAAAAACCTGAAATATGAGACTGTCTGAAAGAATTTAACAGGAGCAGTCTCTCGTTCTGGCCACTTGAGATATCATGCTATATCATGCTCATTCGTGTTGTCTCATGTTCTATCCATTTCTATCCCAATTTGGGCCGAGTCAGGTCTATGATGGTCTATGCTAATATCTTTCATGTCCTCATTTAGACTGTCTATGCTGCGTGGTCCCTTTTTCCGGACGTTGGTTTGTTTGTATGACCCCTTTATGATTCGGGCACCCCAATTTCCCACACCGTTGCAGGCCATGCGGTTTGAAAAGGCCATGAGGTTGAAGTTTCAGTGCCTCGGCTGGAGATGTTTGAGTTACCCTCTGGTAAGCTAACATTAGCTATGGAAAATCACTATTTTTACTGGGTAAATCCACTATAAATTGCCATTTTCAATAGCTATGTTAGTTTACCAGAGGGTATTTGGGTTTTAATCTTTGATCCATAGACACAGAGTGAGATCTATCTGTTTGTGTACGTGTTACATGTACAGCTTGACATGATAGTGATAGTGTGCATTTGAACAGCGCCTTTCTCTCGCCTGATGTTAACCCATATCCCCATCTCCCCGTGTTGGTCTCAATCTTGATATGGGTGGAGCTCAAAGATATTGACTTTTATTGATATTACGTTAATTCCCGTGTCAATGTGTTTAAAATTATATATCGATATCATGTCATATCCCAATTTCGGTTCCAATTCATATTGATATCCCAATTGTCTATCATTTAGTTCGATGATTTTCTCAGCCATAGACCTTTGCGATTTCCCATGAGGTCCCATTGAATTTCATTGAATTTCCACATCATCCCAGCATGTTCCCCTTCAATTTCCAGATAATCCTCATTTTCCCAGCATTTTATCACCATTTTCCCGGCAGTTTCCCAGCGTTTTCTCATTGATCCCATGGAGGAAGACCTTGGCTGAGCCGGGCGAGGCCGTTGGGGTCATCGCTGCGCAGAGTATGGGCGCCTCGGCGAAGGTTGATTCTAGATGGGATTATATATGGTTGGTTATATGGGTTGATATGGTTGATCATGTGGTTGATCATGTGGTTGATTATGTGGTTGATTATGTGGTTGATTGGTTGATTTATGATATTTATGCTAAGTTATGTTGGTTTTTGGTTGAGTTGTGGTTGAATTATGTTGATTTACTGTTGATTTATGATGATTTATGATGGTTTATGATTGATGTTGATGTACACTCACACGAATGGAAAGATCATTGAGCATGGAAACCCGTTGAGATTTCACGGGGATTATATTGGGTTTTCCATGGCATTTAATGGGCATATAAATGATGGGATAGATCTAACCAACAATGATGTCCACAATGGGCTATTTTTTGGGATGCATTGGGATTCTCATGGGTATACAATGGGGATTACAGAATGCGTCGAGTTGCATTCTGTTGAGTTGCCTTTTTGCTCGCGACTGAATGGCAAGAGAACAAATGCAATGGCGATATAATGGGTATACGGTATACGGGGATTTAACCACGATATATAACATTGTATAACCAACAAATAAATATATATATATATGATATTTGGATATGTCCGAAAATGGTGGATTTAGCCACCCAGTTATGCCCATTTGAATGGGGACCATGATGATCCGTTGGAATGATGGCACCCTATTTGAAGATGGAAGAATCGAAGACACTGAACAATCGAAACCATTTGGAAAAATTGTAAATTGAGAAAAAACAGACCAATTGGACACATTAGTAAAATTGTAAAAATTGAGATTTTTAGCCACGCTCTTGAGATTTGTTTGGCAATATTTTGGCAACTGTGATGGGAAGATTGCCACCCTGATGACCACCCCATATTGTTGTAGGTTGATGAACATCCCAATATTCCATTTACATCATAGATATATACATGATGTTACTATATTTATAGCAAATTGATTTTTCGCGTGCTCACCCTGTCACCGTTGTGTTTTTTACTTGCAGTGTTAGAACTGACCTGGGAGGCTTTGGTCGGATGAGTGGATAGCATCCCAATTTTGAGCGCCCAAGGGTATAACATGGTATAACAACGAATGGCCCAAGATTGATCAAAATCTGTCAAAATTGAATGTGTTTGCTGGTTGGTGGTTTCAAACATGGCTTTTATCTTCCATCGTATATGGGATAATCCTTCCCATTGAGGAACTCATGTTTTTTCAAAGATGGTTATTGCACCACCAACCAGTTTGTTATCGGATGATCCCCAGCTGATTGGACTCCTGGACTCAGCGGCTAGGTGAACCCAGTACGCAGATGACCCTGAACACATTCCACTTGGCTGGTCACGGAGGTGTGGGGATGGGCAATTCTTAGGTGCCATCAACCCCCGGAAGTAGGGGCTTATGCTGTTGATTCAACCACCAAAAGGCCGTGATTTGACACCCTAGAGGAGCGAAGACTGATTTTATCCCTCAAATTGTGGGTGTTGTTCAGACCATTTCTGGTCAGAAAGTGATTTTTTGGTGGTTTTCGTGTTGGCTTGATACTGTCACTATGAAGTACTAACGATTCTTTGTCGCCAACATCCTTTCTCGGGCGGATGGCTCAAGATGGGTGTGACCTCTTTGCCAGGAGCCAACGTGACCTTGGGTATTCCTCGGCTTCGCGAGATCATTCAAACCGCCTCCAGGACTCTGATCGACATGGACTGATGCCATTACCCAAATTCTGGTTTCTTGGGCACCCATAATATCCCATAGTATCCCACAGTATCCTCTATATATATTATATATATATATGGGTATGGGTCAATACCTATAAATATTTTTTTAGTGGGATGAACATCCATTTACCAGCTATTTTGATGTTCACCAGGGGTACCAGGGTTTTGACCCATCCCCATATATATAAAGAGTAGCTTGGGTAGAACAACCCCCGAAACCAATCATAAACCGGTCTTTTTTGAAGCAATTTGATGGTGTTTGAGTTACCGATTTGGTAATGGAGAGAAGCATTACTTCCAAGTTTTTGTCTGAAAATGGTGTAGCCCAGAATTTTCAGTGATTAGTCATCATTTTGTCCCATATTGTCCCACCCAAATGGCTATTTCTGGCCAATTGTTCCCCCATTTTCAGACGCCGCGCCATCGGTGTTCAGGAGTTGCTCCACTCCACTGATGACAGTGCCCATCATCAGTCGGGAACTTGGAACTCAACGCGCCATTGGTGTGGGATACGATGGTTGACCCGTGGGGGATGTTTAGATACATGGGGGATTCCATAAATGGTACCCTAAAATGGATGGTTTATAATGGAAAAACCGATTAAAATGGATGATTTGGGGGTACCCCCATTTTAGGAAACCTCCACATTTTGGATAATGTAACTAATGATAAACCAAACCAACCCACTAGCCGGTAGACATTTTACATCGCCCCAAATAGGGGTATAACAAATAGCGAAGCAATTGGGGATGCTTAATTTTGATCACTGCGGCTGTTTAGATATTTGGCACCTCAATGCATTTCCACACCAAGACGCATAAGATGTGCAGGCAATACAGAATGATACAATCATCGCATGTCATAGACCAGCCCCTGAACCTGCATTCAATCCACTTCCAGGCAGAAATACGGAAGCGAAACACATCAAGTGTTGGGTTTTGGTGAGTTTAAGCCTTTGCCAGGTATCTCAATGTATAGAAGGGTTCTGTATATGTTTGATTCTCACAGCCTCCACGTGCAGAGATATGCTTCCACCAAGCGAACATGTGTCTACAGGAAATATGCCCAAACTGACTGGATGAACTTGGCTATTTCACAGGAATCCAACTGGGTCTCTACTTAGATTTTGGAGTTTGGCGAAAATCCAGTCTGTTTGTCATCAACGGTCTAGATGTTGTCATTTTTTTGGGGTTGGGTCCTGAGGCACTGACAAAGATGGAAAACTTGCGCCACAACAACAGAGAATGGCTCGGAGCTGAATTTTCTATCGGCCATTCAGAGGAAAAAGTCTCGGGATTCACCGGAGAAGTGAGTCCTGTAAAACCAGGACTCCTGGCTTTTGTTCTTAAAGGAACTTTGGCGACCATAGTCACCACAGTTGGATGGTGTTACCCTCCGGTCATTGAACATAGCTATTGAAAATGGCCATAGAAATAGTGAGTTTTCCCATGAAAAATGGTGATTTTCCATAGTTTTTTGTATGTTTACCAGAGGGTAAATGCGCGGTTTTCCCAAACAAGATCCCTTCAAATCGCCCAGTGATGGGAGATCTCCAGTGATGCACAGAGGTGACCTCCACAACAAGATGAACCAGCAACAACCATTGTTATTACCCTCTGGTAATTTAACATAGCTATGGAAAATCACAATGTTTAATGGGAAAATCCACTATAAATAGCCATTTTCAATAGCTACGTTAAATTACCAGAGGGTAATATTGTTGGTTATTGCTGGTTATTTACATGGTTGTTATTAACCCTCTGGTTATTCATCATTGGTTTACTGTACATGGTTGGTTATTATAACAACAATGGTTATTTAGCCTCTGGTTATTTAACATAGCCATGGAAAGATCCACCATTTTATAGCTAGGTAAACCATCTATTTCAATGGGCCATGGCTTCCAGGGCTATGTTAGTCATAACCAGATGGTAATCAATAAGGAGTACATTTCCCACACATGACAATAATCATGATGGTCCATTTAAAATCTCCATTTATAGGGGATTTCCCAGCCATGTTTGATGAGGGCTAGTACAATTTTTATGCACTGTCACAAGGCGGCGGCCCAAAGCCTGAAGCGACGCTTCCGCAAGGTGTGGACGGGGGAAGCAGGGCATGGCGGCATGACCCCAGGAACTCCCCCGAGGTCTTGTTTCAACCTTAAAGTTGGATAAAGTTTGTTCCATCCAACCATGGATATCATCATAACTCAAGTTCATCTAGTTATAGATTATAAATTGAACCAACTTAGCTGACATCAAGCAACTATAGTTCGATAAGAAAAAACTGGTGGTCCTTTTTGTTCGAGACTGAATGCAAATGTGTATGTATATATATATATATGTCCATAATATTATATATAGTCCATATACACATATATAGAGATTCAGCCCTTTGATCGGAATTTCAGCCATAGGTTTCTGGCTGATGGGTATCTCCCAGTCACCTTCCCATGACCTCGCATGGAGGAACCATGAGGAAGCCAGAGACTGGGAGCATGGCTTCATTGATGTTCATTGAACCACATGGCCAGTCTTTTTGGTATGGCTTGAAACATGGCCAGAGACATGTTGAAACATGTTGAAACATGTTGAAACATGTTGAAACAGCTATTTGCTGACATATGAGGCGGCTTCCAAGGTTCACGAGGGGATCGATCTTCGGCGCATGGAAAATCCACCAGGTGACCCTGATGGATTGCATTGCCCGCATGGCCAGAGCCCCAATTTCTCGCCATGGAAAAGCCCCCTTTTTTCCACGGAAAATCAGCTGGAGGGACTGGGGCACGAAGTGTCCATTGCCACTTTGGTGCTGCAAATAGCACAGAGGATTTGACCAGTAAAGATAGAATTGATATACAAATGTGGGTGGAATACGAACAAAATGAGAAGTAACGCTGTGCTTTGTTGGTGGTTTCACCTGAGTTCATAGTTTCCATCCCTTTTTTGACAAGAAAAAATGGCTCTCCTACTGGCATGATGATCTGTGTATATCTCTGTGGTCAAATGTGGTCAATGTAATTCCTAGATGTCCTGCTTGAAAAAGGGTAGGGAGTGGTGATTAGCCTTTACTGTTTTGTATGTATATATACTGTATATATAATTATATACATCTATATAGTTAAGTAATATACATATATAAATACATACAACAGCATATAATCAATGGGTTGAAGTAACATAGGTGTCAGTGTAGCCAAGATGCCATTGTCGTTTTCGACTTGGTGACCGATTCGGCTTGGTTCGAAGGTGGTCAACGAAAGCGTGCGCTTGGATTCCGGAAGTCCCGTCACTCTGCGGCAATGGATGTGAGCATTGAACGGATATTAACGGATGTTATAACGGATATGGATGGGCTTGGCGGCTTGACTCTTCCCGATAGTTGGAAGCCATAGATTTGGGGTTCATCATCGGTTAAGTCGGTTAAGTGGCCAATCCTTGGCAGTGCACCCAGTTCAAACAATCCGTCACGAGGGTAACTTGGCAGGTGAGGGTTGCTGCTTGGAATCCAGCAGGAGACTTTGGAAGGGGGTGACCTCCTACACCTTTAAAGACCTGCATGCTTTCCACGTGTTTGGGACGATGATCCCCGGTTGAAGCGTATCTTTTCTCAGGGGCTTGAAACCACCTGGCCAGTGATGGTGCATTTTCGTTCAAGTTTTTTTGGCTCAAGTCTTCGGCTTGGCCCCTTTCATACCCCAGGCGTGACCATGCCACCTGTATATGAATGGATCCATGCAACCAGCCATGAGAATTTCAATCAGATCAAAGATGATGGCTACCTCAAAGGCAATTACTGCTACGACGACTTCTTTGATGGCAAGCTGCAGAAACCCGGCGCACCGCGGGGAAGCTGGTTCAATGCCAACAACTATCGTGGGGGGCCCATCGACCTCACGCCCTATCCCGAGCGGAACAATGATGAGACGGTGATGGCTTTGGCTTTTCCAGTTTCAAAGCTGTTGGATCCAAAAGAGAAATACCAGCTTTTCAAAGTGTCAAGGATCCCCTGTGGCTACCTTCAGGTGAGGTTGTTTTTGAAAAGTCTTTTTGTTGAGTTTGAGTATCACATGGTGGAACAAATTTCCAAGGAGTCCGCAAGTTTAGTTCTGTCGGGGATGTAGAGGCCAACAAATGAATGTTTGGTGGTTGCTTGTCAGGTCAAGTATGCTATTGTAAAGCAGACGGATCCGTTCTTTGCTTGGTGTTCTCAAAATCTTCATCGTGTTGAGGGCAACTGCGATGAGCATGTTTCTCTCACATGGGATCAGGACGCTGCCAGCTATGTGTGGAGCGCAACCGATGCAGATGAGAAGGCAGGACTGCTACATACTGCTACCGGGCCTAAAGCTCCAATCCCAAAATAGAACACAAGAATTAATCATTATATCATATTATCTTGGGATTTCTCAACCCATGTCTATCCCATTTTTTTGGTGTTTGACATTTCAGATGTTGTAACTCCATGCTGAGAAACCCCATGCCCAGGTGATGGTGAGTGTCTTCGTGGTGAACCATGACGACCGTCATCCCAGCGTTGCCTTCAAAATCTGCAGGCCTTACGAGATCCAGAAAATTCCAGCCAGGCGAGACTGGTCGCCTTTTTGGTTGTGGGTGGGGTGCAGATGCTCATGAAAGGATGGGCTAGCGACTGCACCTGTGTTTTTGTCAAAGCTGAGTGGAGGGCTCGTCTTTGCACGTTTGGGGGGCAATCTGTAAACTTAGATTGTTCTGGCCGACTTCATAATCTTGATTACACTTCAAATTGCTGCCACGGTTTTATTTCCCAACATCCTCCCAACTAAATGCGTTGGTCCCTGTTGTGTTTTTGTCTCATGAGTATGGGTCAAAAGCAGGATACCAATGGACCAAAAAAATCTGTTGAACCATGCCCATGGTCTGGTCTCTTCAGGCAGGTGAAAAGCCCTGGAAAACTCGTCCGAGAAAGTGGTTCAGGACTGCCGTGGTAGCTAGCGATAATCACTGGTCGGTGGTTTCAAAGGTGCTTCATGTTCAACACCTAGAATACTAGTATGATGAAAAAATGATGGTTTCAGCTTTAACTGTGTTAACGTTCCATCTTTTAAAGTGGGATGTTGAACCCAAGTCACGAACCAGATCAGAGCTAGTGTAGATGCATAGGTGCATATATGATTTGCCAGTGACTGGAGCTCTTGAAGAGAGGATCATCTTTGTAGCATTGTATGTTATGGCACAAATAGATGGAAAGGGGAAAAGGAAAATTCAAAAAAAAATATATCTTCAATGTACGAGGCCCATTCTCATTTTTGCCAAACATCTGAGATCCATGATCTATCCATATCTATCATATGTGCAATCGAGAGGGCCAGCACATATAGAGCCTTCTGAGACACACGGCGCTGAGTGCAACTGCTAGAGGAATGGGGGGTACCTACGATAAATATTCCAGGTATACCCCTTAGGTGCTGGAATATTTTTTTAGGAATATTTCTTTTGGAACATTTTGGAATATTTTGGCGAGGGGTATCTGATACCCCCCCTCGGACTATACCTGGAATATTTTCAGCCTTGAGCTTCCCATATCATTGGAATATTTTTGAATATTTTTTTCCTGATTGTCTGACATATTTTGGCATGTAGTATGCAGAAAGCTGCAATACTTGCACCGGAATCCTTCAAGGTCAAGGCAGCGTGATATGACAGCTTGGTTTTGCCAACTGAGGGATGCTAAGGGCTTGAAATGTGGTTTGTACAACCCCACCGTGACGCTAGCTGAAACCCTTCCATGCACGGTCTCTTCGGCTCGATCAGGATGGCATTGATGATGAGCTGGAACAGGCACCACCCGAAAGACAGCATCGAGTGATCCTTGACCTGAACGGCTTCAAAAAGCACACGATTCTTCACGATATTATTTTATCAAAGAAATCTATCCCTCTCCAGCCTTGGAGCAGTTCCTTCCGCGTTGGTGTGACCGTTTGGCGTGCCATGATGTCATATGCTTTCGCATGTCATGATGGCTCGCTGCCACCCTTGAGCCGTACTGAGCGTAGACGGCTGGCAAAGGGTCCAATCATGTCCAATCTATGGTTTTGAGAGTGGATGGTGTGAAATTCAAAAGTCATGAAACTGTAGAAACTTTTTGTAAATGGTAGGCTCATAGGATCTCATAGGATCTCATAGGTGTTGAGCCATAGATGGATGAATATACTCACCACCTTTTTTTGAGGGCAGGATATCGAAGGTTAGCAGCAATGAAATGGCTGGTACAACAGCAGTCTTTTAGGTTGAAGCCACCCACATATTTTGGATATGAAAAACCATACCTCCAAATCCCTCATAACAGTTTTGTAAGTGTATATACAGTACATGCGACCAGTTTGTTTGTTGGTCATGACCCATCCTAGTGACCCATTGCCTGCTATGGCTTAGCCGGAAACAAAGGGCAGCTTTCGGTGCAGAGCTTGCGTGGAGCTTTTGGATGAAAAAGATCTTGGAACTTGGTTGGTCAGTAGGTGATTTTTTCAATATAGTTGTTGTATGTTTTTTGTTGCCCCAATTTCTGGAAAATCATATGCTCGTCTTTTTACAAGGGGAAAAATTGTAAGCCATGAACTTGCAGCTAGCTTCGAAGTCTCTTCAAAGCACTACTTTTATGTTTGAAGATGGACGAATGAGCGGCAACTGAGGATAAGTGGTCAATAGCAACGTGTCCTAACTGTTCCGTAAATACATTTGTTGCCACTTCCGCTGAATGAAACTCGCTGACAAGAATCATGCCTCGGACTCCTGCCTCAATGTTTTTTCAGACTATACATTCTCATCAATAGTCCCGAAATGTCAAGACTTGATAAGCAATGATACGAATCTACTTCCTATCTATCAGGGGTTTTCATCATAAACCTACTAACGTAATCTAACGTAAACATATCTAAACATCCGAACATTCGTTTTCGTCTATCAGAGTATACATTGGATATCTGACATCGAAGAGAAACAGACTAATCTCAGGTGTGGATCTATCACTGCCACATCGAGTTCATGCCGCTGGATGAGCTTTCCAAGGCAAGAAAAAATAGACTCCGTCTCAGAAGGTCAGATCAGATGGGGAAGCCAAAATATCAGATGTATATGTGTATATTATAATATGTATACAGTATATATATATACATATAATATACATATATATATATATACATATATATATATGGAACCTTATGCAATGTACGTTCACTAAAAAATATACAGATTCGATTATACTTATACGATCTTATACATGTATGATTCGATTTATTCTAATGTATTGTTGTCTCTTCTGCCCGTTTACCCCCCTGAAATGGTAAAGAACATCATAGACAATTCATGATAATTTATGTCTCCTTCAAATTCCACTTTGTTAGGGTCCATAAGCCGCCCGACGGACGGATCCATGCCCTCCTCACACACTCAGCATTCCTTGGCACAGGCGGTTCCTTATGCCCCACGCCTCAGAGGGGGAGGTTGTTGGCTGCCAGCTTTAGGCTTCTACCATCAACCCCTTCACAAACCAGTCTCGGACAGTGGATTAAAGAGTCATTCTTATGGCCTTCTGACTGGAACCACGGAAACAGGTTGGCGAAAATTTCGTCCTCAAATGCTTCGGACGTTCACTTCCGAACTTCCGAACCATCTCAGGCGTCCACTCATTCATTCCAAAAGGATCTTATCCTCGGCTGGTGGTAGACAGTTCTGCGATATTCTGCGGGTGTGTTTTCATGACCAAGTTGGAAGCGCAAATTGGTTGTGTGTACCTGGTCTCAAGCTGTTCGGATCAACTAGAGTCACTAGAGAAATAGTGGCGCACTATTTCTTTGCAGTGCATTCCAGGAATTTCGAACGGACTTTTTTAAGATCCAAACCAACAGATGGTTTTTCTCCTTTTTCTCTGTTGGTTACCCCAACATTTGGCGCGTGGATGCGCATGGTGAAACGTGATGAAATGACCCGGCTGAGATCACAAAAGACCGGCGAGGCACTCAGGATGAGCTCTGATGGGGCACATCAGATATGTTGGATCTGTTGGATGATCTATAATAAGATTGGATTATATTGGATTATCATATTTGAATAGTTTGAATAATTGTTTGAATAAGATTTGCATCTATTCCTTAAACTTAAACCATAATTTTCGGATCATTCTGAAGGAGAGTTTCTTTGATCATGGTCCAAGATTTGGATCTATATGGTCTGTACGTTCAAAGCACAAAATTTGGGCGGATGAACTTTTGTCAATAGAGTTTAATCAAATTGATTCCATCCAATATCTCCATGGTCAGCAATGTTCATGGGAGTATCAGTGCCTTTACCCCCGCCCATGTCCAAAGGGATTGTTGTTGATATTCCGAGAATCCCCAGCAAATTGACAAAGATACGGAACATCCACCCATGTAAAGAGAATGTTGTGAAATTGTGGAACTTCCATATCTCATATTACTTTACTGGAGGGTACAGCGAAATCCCAAGGGTTGATGATGCCCCCCATGGATGTTGGCAGCTCAAGAGGCCCCCGGATCACCGCCATGGCCACGCCTGCCCTGGCCCTGCAGTGCCGCACGGTGGCGCAACGCCTGCGCCGCGGCCACACGGTGTGCGGCACAGCCTGGGACGAGGACACGGAGGAGGCGGCGCAGCACGTGGCGCGCTATGCCGCGTGGAGCAAGGGGCATCCAAGTGCCGCCGTTGGGATGGAGAAGGCCTCAAAGATGTTGAAGAAGGCCTGGAAAATCGGGGTTTTCCATGGTTTTCCCATGGTTTTCCTCTGGTTTTCGTAGAATGCGGGATCCCCAAGTCACCATAGGCTTCAATACTAAGTCATGGTCGAATGACTTGGATGATGTGGCACCCCCCATTTTAGGAAGGCCGGGAGAATCGCAGAAATTGGGGGAAGATCGGACTTGGTGGGCCCCAAAAGAGATGGACACGTTTGGTAAGAATCTACTGTTCTATTTGTTTCGGATTACTGTAGAATTATACTTTCATACTTACCTAATACCCAAAGAATAGGGCACTGATGGAATTTGGATTTTGATTTCAACTGCGTGTATTTTTCCGACCCCTTGCTGAGGAAGATTGTCAATATTGATAAGTTGAAAATTTACAGAAAGTTTTATGGTCCGCTGAAGCTGCCCACCAGATATCCAACCTTGCCAGCCCTTCAGCGGAGATATTGTTGGTTCAATCACCACAGCGAAAGCCTTGAAAGGGGTGCCTCAGGCAAGGGGATGAAGTTCCAAAAACAACCCTGTGAGAACCCATTGAGTTTCCTTCTGTCTATTGTAGAAGAAGAACTATCGTGTCCCAAGATGTCCCAAGGATCCCCCCTGCTTTTCGGACGTCCATCTTGGCAGCTACCCCGACGTCGCAAAATCATCAGCCAACTCTGCCACAGGCGTCTGCTGCGCTGAAGCTGATTCAAGCCTCTCAGCTGCCGAAGCGTTGACGTGGAAGTCAGTATGATTGATCCCATCCCCCTAGTATTTCACGTTCTGGGGCGGCTCGTCATAAACGAACAGATCCAAAGACAAAACATGGTTTGGATTGGGAGGAAAATTGTATATACTATATACTGTAGCTGGACAGGAAATTGGATTGTCATAGAGCCTCTTTTATTGGTGTTTCCATGGTATTCTTTTCTTGGGGTGGGGTACAACGGTACAACCCAACTCGGCACCAGACGAAGATCATGATAAACTCCCAGCCAACATCGGGACGGTAGGCCCGACGAATGGCATGCCCTGACGGAGGTCCATGGGTCTCCCACTGGTTGATTAATAGAGAGGGGGCAGCCACTTTGAAGTGGGATCAGTAGGTGAATGACATCATGATGGTAAATGATGGTAAATGAGAAGTATCCAAACTGCCCCATCGATGTTTTTGCTAAAAGGACATCGTTGTATGGAGCATATCAAACAATGTTTGCTTGATTACTTATGATGACTTCATCTATCCTGCTCCAGGTGTGTGAAACATGACAACTCCCCCAGATCAATGGGGCCATTGGCACCCCAGAAAAAAGCTACCAGCGGCTTGAGGACAAGATCTGTGAACTGCAGAGATCTGTCCAAAACGTCGAGGCATCCAACGTCGCGAAAGCTGAAGACCTCTTTGGAAGGGGCCCGGAAAAGGATCCTCGGCTGAGGTCAGTCAGTTGCTGTTGATCTCATGTGGTAAAGCCAAAAATACCCAAAAGCCCAAAACCATATCCCAAAAATGGATTGCTTCTTTTGGCGGAAATGATATGAGATAATATGACTGAATATGACATAATTATATAATATAATAATGGAATTTTAGATGTGTTGTTTGTATGCGGAAAAAAAAGGAACATGCCCAAGCGTCTGGAAGAACATTAATTATCCTGTCTGCCCCAAAAAGTGGTTTACCATGTTTCCCCGAGAGTGTTTTGCCGTATGGATACCGGGTTTGTCTACCTATTTTTGCTGGTTATCAGTTATGCATCCCATTGTTTTGTATACATAAGATTAGTTATATTAGACCGATGGTTAAGCCATGTTGAACCAACATTTCCAATGGTCAAATGTTCACTTCATTTACCCTCTGGTTATTTAACATAGCCATGGAATATGGCCAATTTATAGATGTTGTTTAATGATTTACTGTACCTATTTAAAATAATTATTCTCAATAGCTACGTTAAAAAAACATAGGGTAGTTAAATCGCAATGTTTGCCATAGTTCAATCTCCATCAGTTCAATCCCAGTGATGGTGAAGTCCCGATTTTGGATGGTTCCAACTCTAAAACGGCCCGGTGCACCAGGTCGGGATGGTTAAACTATCTTAAACGAACATGTCTGACACTTCAATCCCTTTTTTTTCATGGGTTTTCAAGCAGCAGTGTCATTATGTCATTGGTGAAATCCCCGTTTCGTCTACTAAAAGCCTCAGTGTTCATGGTGAACCCTGAAGTTTTGGGGGTGGAATCCGCTCCACATCGAGGACCTCCAGCAGTGCGAGCTGACGCAGCTCAGTCAGCAGCTGGCAGATGCCGCAGCCAAGTCCATGGAGATGACCGAGGGGGCCTGGAAGATGTACCCATTTTGGGGATGGGCTGGACACCTTAGGAATGGCTCAGTTAAGATCAGTTAAGATGATTCTCATGTTGCGAGTTCACCACTTGGGAGTTCACCGTGGATTTTTCGGCTTGGACGAGAGGCAACAGAGATTTTTCACCATGAAACAGGGAGATTTGACCCGGACAGATGGGAAATTTCACCAGATAACTTGCTGGTGCCAAACGCAGGGAATTTTCGGGAATGATCCCAGTCATCACTAGTAATAAGATGTAATAAGCATGCCAGCAACCCCCAGTCCCATCCATTCCCTACGTAAAACACACCAATAAGATAAAATTGAGGGTTGCTGCTTCCAATTTTGCTGGCAGAAAGGACCTCGGAGCTCCCCGGCTCCACCGTCTGGGTGCAGCTGCCAGACCCCGTGACCACCGCCCAGCAGCTGGAAGAATGCGCGGAGGCATTGGAGCAAGGCCTGGGGCTGGTGGAAAATTTTGGATGAGATTTCGATGTTTTATGATTTTTTGGATGTTTTTGGTATTTTTCTGGACTGTTTGGTGGATTTGCTGGATGTTTTTGGTCAAGTTTGGGAGTTTCACCTGGAGAAGGTTGATGGTCAGTTTGGGGTGAGTTTTTGTTTGGGAAAGTTGGATGTTTTAAGGAAGTTTGGGGGAATCTTACTGTATGCCCCCCCCCCGGATGTAAGAAGAATTTACGGAGGATTTCCTGGGACCTCCTGTAAACATGTTCTCAAGAAGCACACATGTTATGTTGCATGTTGTTGGCTCAATCCCCAAATGTAACGTAGCTATAGAAACTGGCCATTCTTAATAAATCATCTAAAATCATCTAAAATCATCTAAAATCTGGGTATCAAATTTTGGGGCTTCAATTTTGACCCTCATTTCACCCATCAAAAAAACAGTATCCCCACCAGGTGACCATCACTTGGAGCACCTCAATGCTGCCCTGGTGGCTTTTGAGCGCCGCCTGGAGGCCACCAAGGTGTGGGAAGAGACAGCGGAGAGCCCACGGAAGCGATGTCGCGTTAGAGGTGCCGCGGTGCGGCGCTGCGGGAGGATGGGAGTGGTTGGGATTTAGCCTTCAAAAAATGTGGAGAGAATGAGAAAATGCTGGGATTTGAGATTCTATGGGATATTTGATGAGGATATTTGGTGGGATTTAATGGAATATTTGATGAGATAGAAGCAACAATCAGTATGAGAGCCCGGTGTGTGTGAAAATGAAGTCTACCGTATACCCCAACTTAGGGCAGTTTCATAGCCATATAGTTGGTGTTTGTCCAACAATGGTGGCTTTTGCCAAATTTATGGAAATTCAAACGGGAAGCATGATAATATATTAATCATTGGATTTTGGGGTATACCTTATCAGACAAACTGGTTGAATATTCAGGAAGTGGAGCAACCACTCGATTCTGTCCAAATTATGGTGACATTGCAACGACCTTGCCATAGATGACTAAGGAACCTATCCCAAACTGGGGTTCTTTCCAGCTCAGAAATTGGTCTAATCTGCCTGGATCAGATCTGGACTCTGGACCCATGTTTTTTTTGCTTCGGCTTTTGATGGAGGAAATCACTATTGTCGCAGGTTTCTGGAACGCATTAAAACCAAACCAAGTTTCATATGGTTTTATCGTGCTTTATCCTTCATCATGTGGAGGAGATGTCGCACAAATTTTGAAAAATGCAAAGATCCCATGGTGTGGGTTCTGTTTTTATACCCCAAGAGCATCTAACTTATTGTCATGTGTTGTCGTTTTCTTGGGTGGAAAACCAAATCGTTTTGGGGTACCCCAATTTGGAGAAATACAGATCTTATAATAAGGAACCAAAGCTGGTCAAAGTGGTGTCAACATGTGTCAACCATCACCCAATTTAAACGGATATCAGTTTGCAAACGGCCTGGGGTGTCCCCAGCTGCCTCAGTGCGCCTGGGTTTTGGAGGACCGGAGGAACCAAAAGTGTCTTTTGGGCTGCAGAACGAGAGCGAAGGCAGGAGGGATGGGAGAAGTTAGGTGAATGATGTGATTTGAAATTCTGTTGATTGTGGATTTCCTGGGTTCATCTATATAGTATGTTTGTGCTTCTTGCACAAGTCAAAAGAACTGCTGAAGAAACATAGTTCCCTCCGGTTGGAAACATGTGCATGACCAAAAGCAACTGCAGCGTGCCACTGCATTGAGGCTGGAGCCGAACGCGACAAGGAATCAAAGGGTGGCTGGTTTGCATAGACCGTAAGTGTTGGTGAATTTCCCGTTTTGCATTGATTTCAAGAATCATTGGGAATGTTTAAAATCATCTTTAAATGGTTGTTGGGGATGTTCCCCCTGTACACCATCCCTTTGGTAGTATGGCATGGGAAACTCCACCCCTAAAGTGTTGTGTTTTCTTTCGGATGGGACATGTTCAACCAAGGTTGTCTCACAAGAGTAAGCTGGATGTGGCGGTACAGATCTTGAAGCTCGTCGTTTTCGCTGTCATTGGATTGATGCGTGGGAAGTGGATTGTGGATCTCTACCTTCCCATCCTAAACTCTCTTGAAGCAGACAATAAAAGTGGACCCACCAGTTTGCACGTTGAGAACATTCAAACTATCATATCATAGTTGTAAGTTGGTTCTCTCAACAAAATTTACATCTATCCAGATTCCAGATCTATACATCTATCGTTTAACAGTTTAACTTAGCTACTTGTAAGTTTCATCATTTGAGACATGATAGACTTTCCATAAATGGGGATACCCCAAATCATCCAAGTCACTAGACCGAAACTTAGTATTGAAACCCCTATGGTGACTTGGGGAATTCCCGTATGGAAACCTCCATATGGCCATGGTTGGTGCCCAGGAACGATACCTTCCATGTCTTCGATTTCTTGGTGAAACAACTGGCTCGCCTCTTTGAGGAGTTGACGTGTTTGGCCACTTGGAAGTTTTACTCGGAAAAACCGGTGGTGAATCCCCCAACCATGGGCAAAGATGGAAACAATATGGGGGAAAGAACATAGGAAAATATGGTAGGTCTCCGAACTAAATGGTGGTTTCAATGTGAAAACTCTACTATAAATGGTGGATTTTCCCTGTTTTGCGGTTCAAATGTTCAAAGCAATGTGGCTAAAGCCATCTATAAGATATCTCACCAGGTGGTGCCCCTCCGTCATGTTTGTTGGTTTATAAACCTACAAAAACTATAGTTGTACCTACCAACATCCGCAAACTAGGTATAAACCAACTCAACTATGGTTAGGAATTGCTTAGAGAAAACCATTTCCTTCTTCAATGGTTTTCTCCAGACCCCTGCAGCTTCCACCAAGGAATGCGATGTGAGTTGCTTCCACGTGTAGCTTTGGTCTTCAAATTCTTGGAGATGGGGGTTGCCATAGTCATGGGGCTACCCCCAATAGCCGGATGGTTTATAATAGAACATCCACTAAAATGGATGATTTGGGGGTAGCCCTATTTTAGGAAACCTCCAGATCCTTTTGGGGCTTGTGAAGCCAAGATTCGAATAGTGCTGGGTTCACTTCAAAGGCGGTGCTATGAGCATGCGGTGGTATCTTTGTCCGGGTGGAGCAGAGTGTGGCAGCTGAAAACACAAGCAGCGGATGGCAGCAAAACCAAAGGACTGTAAGACCATGTAAGACCCATATCCGACCTACTTTTGGAACTTTTTGGATCGTGTTGCCAAGCCACAGGTCAAAAACGATATAGTTCTACCAAATCTAATAGCTTCTTTGAAACCATTCCTTGCAGCCGGCTCGAAAGCGAGCATCTGGGGATGACGTCAGAGAAATGCAATTGAAGACAGCTCTCAGAACTTCTCTCTCGAATCGACATATATAGATCACACATGATCACACAAAAGACATCCAAAATGCATGAACATTACACATCTCGCATCATATTGACATCGATTGACTCTGTCATCGGGTTGGTGGTTTGGACATGAATTTTATTTTTCCATAGATTGGGAACAATAATCCCAACATATCCCAACTGACGAACTCATATTTTTCAGAGGGGTAGGTTAACCACCAACCAGACTATGTCACGAGGCAACTCTTCGCGGCCGCTGAGATCCAGGCGGAGGTCATGGCTTGGAAGTTGATGTTGCTGGAAGCCACGGAAACTTGGCGGACGCGCGCTTGTTGTTTTTCTTCAGAAAATCTGTAGAAGAACCATGGAATTTCGCCACATTCTTTTGGGGTAAAACATGGTGAAAGCCATGTCAAAGCTAAAAAGGTTCTTGAAGAAGTTCCAGGTCCTATTGGCCTGTTGAGTGAGACTCTTGGTATGTTCGGGCGTTTTTTCAGCATGAATCCATGAATCAACCTGGTGAATTTCTGGGAAGGATCGGTTCACCAGTACTGAAAGATTCGCTATGGGCCATGGGATACTGTAGGATACTGTGGGATACTGTGGGTATGGGATGGTCGGAATTGAAGAGCCAGGGAACCATCTCATTTTGTGGGTACCAAATTTCAACCAGAACGCAAACAGCTTCCTGTCGGAAGCAACCAAGGGGCTGGGCTCCCATAGTGTCCCATGGGGGCTCGTTCAAAATCCCACAGGATTTATGGATCGAAATGCTGGGGCTCTGTTGTTCACATGAAAAATAGCTCATTGTGATGGATGTTCCTTCCCCCATTCCTATGAAAAGATATTTTTAAAAAAAAACTGTAAAATCTGGAGTTTTGACCTATCCCCATGTCAGATATCTAGTCTGATTGGAAAGCCACCACTTGAACTCCCGGGAGTTCCTGGGAGCCGCCGAGACGGCCTTCTTTGGGATGATGAATACTTGGGGGACCCCCGCCCTAGCAAAACCTGAAAAGAAAAGTCAGATGAGTGAAAACTGAAGACTACAAAAATAGTGGTAAAATGGTTGTCGCATGTTGTTTATATTTTTTTGCGGGGGAAACATGTTTGGCAATCATCTTGGGGCCATGTGCAATCCATATGTGGTGCCTAAGGAGCCGCAGGGCCTCGGGGAGTTTCTGGAATCCGTGGCTTGGAGATATTGATGTAGTCGATGTCGAAGATGTATAATATCAAATTTAGATGTGTGTGTATATATATATATAATTATATATATATATCTATTTGTTCATTTAGGTATAGCAACTCCCAAAATAAAGAAAGATGTTCAGTAAATCCTATTTACACAATGATATGTTACTGTTCTATCTTTTTTGGCGGTCACGAAAGATTAATGCAGGGAAGTTATTCTTGTGGCAACAGCAGGGCACCAAGGTTTGGCTCACATATTTCATCATATTCATATACGAGAATACATACATATGCCTACATAATTATATATATATATAGATACATGATCTACGTCACATATACATGAAAAATATATTTAAATATACACAGATACACATTGCGTTTATATACATATAATTATATATACATATTATGTATATAGCGTCAAAAACTTCGAAGTTTCACGTGTCAACTGGGATCCCGTAGGTCTTGGCTGTTGGAGATCAACTTGATGCCTCGTTATGGGCCTTGCGACCTGGTGGCGTTTTGTCCAAAAACGTGAAAAAGCCCAAAAGGATTGGTGGATTTTGGGGAAAATGATGATAAACATTGATAAACCACGGATTCTGATGATTTTTGTTCCCCTAGATTTTCGGACACAACCATATCTTGCGGATTGTCTGGTTTTCGGTAGTGTAGCATGGTGAGAGTTTCAGCACTGAGACCTCAAATCTAAGGCAGAAAAAAAGACAGGCGCGACCTGACATGTGCAAAGCATTTTGGACGGTCCCTCAAGTCAGTTGTTGCCAGAGCAGCCCTAACATTTTTGGGATGTTGTGCTCCCAATTTCAACATACTACACAAAACCTCCAGTTGCAAATAATATAAATACTCAGTCCTGCTGCGTCGAGTGGTAACTTCCTACCAGGAACCCTCTTAAACTTCAGAAAAGGCATATTTAATTCGATCACATTGCCTATTTGTGCAGTGCATTGCCAATTTATATATGTTTATTTATATATGTGGTTTGTTTGTGCATAGAAACACGTGGTTCATATTAGCCCAATAGACAGGCAGTTTGATTCAAT